CGGTACCAACGTATTATGCGCGCTTCTTCACTCTCGGCTGCAGCTTGGCACTGTAGACGTGCACCGTGTGCGCACCCTGAGGTGCTAAGGTATGCACGTAGAGCTCTGCTTTGTCCACCAGGCTCGCCTGCCCACTCGCTGAGCTCTCCCGCCCCAGCTGCAGCGGGTATGCGCGACTTTCAGGAATTCACTCAACACTTTTAGTCAACAGCTCAATCTGGTGCTAATGTCTGTTACCGAGGATCCGTTTCTTCGCATCCTCTGCTAAAAGATTTACCTCATAATTCCAACATGTCAAATGACGTCCTGCTATCACTGCCATCCGATGACGAAATCTAGGGCGCATTAGACGCAACGAAAAAGGGATCGGCCCCAGGGCCTGACGGACTCCCTGCAGAGTTTTATAAACAGTTCTGGCCTATCGTTGGTCCCACTATGTCACGCGTCATTCGCAAGTGTTTCCAAGATATTACACTTCTAACCTCTTTCCAGAAAGGCCGTATAACACTAGTTCCCAAGAAAGACCCAATGTCCACGCGACCAGAAGATTGGCGCCCTATTACCCTGCTCAATGTAGATTACAAGCTCTTGGCCAACATTTTGGTGCGCCGAATCAGTTCATTTCTTGCAACATTAATCGCTCCCCACCAGGTCTGTTCTGTTCCGGGCCGAGAAATACACACCCATACGTGGTTAACGCGTCAAATCATTCAATACACCACTAGCCGATGTGCGCATGGACTGTTGGTTTCATTAGATCAAGAGAAAGCTTTTGATTTCATAGAACATGGCTGCATACTAAATGTTTTACATGCATACGGATTCCCGGATAAGTTAATTGACCTCATCCACGCGATGTACACTAATTCAGAAAGTACCCTTTACTTAGATTCCCGTGAGAGTCACGCATTTAGAGTCACGCGTGGGGTCCGTCAAGGGTGTCCCCTCTCCTCAGTGTTATTTATCCTTGCATTAGAACCCTTCTTAAGGGCCGTTGAACATCACCCGCAGGTTCGTGGCTTGCCTCTACCCGGTAACACTCAAGTAAAAGTCACTGCATATGCAGATGATATTACTCGATATGTACATAATGAACAGTCGCTACAGCATGCTCTTGATACATTCCATGATTTCGGTATTATCTCCGTTGCAAGGTTAAACTTTTCTAAAAGCCAGTATTTTTTCATTGGCAACTCCAGCGGTCGTATCAACATCACGTCGCCTTTACAGTGGTCTCCTGAGATTTCAATACTCGGAGTTACTTTCACTTCATTTGGTATACAAGATATCATCTGGTCATCCGTTGTACAAACTCTTTTAAGTCATATCAAAGCAGCCAGGTACTCCGAATTCCCCCTCTTGGAATGCCGATACTTAACTCAAACGGTGTACCTAGGAAAATTTTGGTACCTTTGCCATTCTGTTAAACCACTGCTCCACATCTGCAGGAAAGTGCAAAGCTGCATCAGTTCATTTTTTCGGTCTGGTGGCACAGAATTGTTATCGCGTCCAGCGTTAGCTCGACCGCGAGATCAAGGCGGTTTTGCATTCTCCGACGTTTCCGTCACGGCTTCTATATTGTGCCTTCGCACTCTATTGCGAATACCAAGCAATGATGGCTTTCCCGCTCAGACACTGGCTCGCTACCATCTGGGGCCATCACTACGTGTCTTCCTGCCGGATAGCTAAATAAACCAAGGTCCCCAATCAACTGAATTACCATCTTTGTATCGAGTCCTTCTGGCATTTCACCGACGTTTGGAAGCTACGTGCCCAGAAATAGAGGTGGCCGATTCTAAATTGGTGGATACAATGGTCACCCTTCTACGGCCCTTGGTGCCCCAGCATTGTCAATCTGTAATGAACCACGCTTGGAAACCAATAACTGCCGCAGTGTTGCCAGGGCATCTCAGAAACTTTGTCTGGAGGTTGGGCTGGGGCTTGCTCCCCACGCGAGATCGATTGTAGCGATGGCAGGTGGTTCGCACTTCCACATGCCCCAACTGCGTCATGGTAGAGACCAATCGACATGCGACGTTTGAATGTGTGGTTTCCCGCCTTTTTTGGCGCGCGGTTAATGCTGGTTTTCGGGGACAGGGTGTGCGAACTTTCATGTCCAATGGCTGATTTCCGCGTAGCCGCTTCCCCGCTCTGTTAATAGTTGCGGGGCTGTTCAGCCTTTTGAGAAACCGATGTGAGGCCATAGCTGCCAATTGCCGCCGGCGTGCTTTGTGGCCGATACTGGGGAGAATGAGACGAGAGTTCCTCGCGTTCCTCTCCGAGGAGCTTTTCTTCCTCGGAGAGAAAGAGTTTCTGCGGCATTGGTCGTGCCCTTTCGTCAAGGTGGAACACGAAAGGATACAACTCATTTTTTGACCGACTTGGTGCTAAGCAGCGCCCGTTAAGTTGTTTTATATGATTTCATTTGTTACATATCATGTTTCATTGCATCTATTGTATCGTTATACCATTGTACCATGATATCGCAATGAGTTCTTGTGCGCATACATGCCAACATTGTCATGTATATTAGAGCAAATGTCTTCACTGTAACGTAGTGATGTTAGTCGTGAAATATAGATGTACCGAAGTGTATGTGCCCTGTTACTGGAACCGTATGAAGCCGACATTTTACGTCGAAGTATCCCAAGTATCTAAACGCCGAAGTCAATTGTCGCATACTACGGTGAACTTTTGGGGACGGCATTAAGCTCTCCCATAGTGGAGTACCTGGTACTCTAAATCGTTGCCCACTTTTCCACCCCCCCCCCCCATCCATGGAAAGACTATTGTTTTTAAAAGAAGGGAAGTATATGCTGCGGTGATAAGTTAAATTGGCCGCAAACGAAGGTACTGTATGCTGAAGCCACAAAACTTTTGATTTGTTGTTAAGGAGGAGATCTCAAGCGCAGAATCAGTTCGCGCCGATTGGCAACCGTTCCTGGAAAGAGAGTGCCGACGCCACTAAGGTGCCGAGCTGAAGTCTCAGCGAACAGCCGCTGATCGACAAGCGCGACAAGCCTAGCGAGATTAGTTTCTGCCTCTGTAGGTGGACCCTCAGTAAAGGACTGCACAGCGTAAGAGGCTAATACTGAACACCAGAATCTTTGGAATTCCGGACCACTGTGGCCCGTCAGAGCAGGGAACCAAACCTTAAACAAACGCAAAGCAAGCACTTGGGGAACGTCCACAACGCAAGACTATAATCCAGACGTGGTGCGTGTGACTGCCGATGCCGCACTACTGCAAGAGCGCTAGAACAACCCAACTGGTTCTCCAGTGCGCGAGAAATAAACCACGGTATAACTGCATCAAATCGTCATTACACACTACCGCACATCCGATGACATCAGTGTTGCCATTAGCTGGGTTTAAAAAGGAGCCGAAATTTGAGGTAAAAGTGACCGAAGTAGCCTGGTTGTTCAATTTTAACGTCAAACATGTAGAAAACGGAACTCATATTTATACAGTTCTAAGTATCCCACAATAAATATTATAATCTTGAATAAGAAGGAAACGGAGTACAATGACAACAGTATATACTTTTTTCATTTTACTCCGTGAATCACGCAGGCAGGTTGCAAATTAAGTGCTAAATTGTTTTACTCGCAGTGTTTCTGCAAAAAGTCAGCCGCAATACAGATAGAGAGAGGATAAGGGTGAAGGAAAGGCAGAGAGGTTAACCATGGTTGAACTCGATAGAATACCCTGCACTGGGGAAGAGAGTAAGAGTATAAGTTAGAGAGATAGAAGGAGAGAAAAGTCACTGCTGCCGTCGACACAACGGAAGTTCTGTGCTTAATATCACAGACAGTGAGTCACAGCCATGTCTTTATCAAATCAGCGCATTCGTTCGATTACGTAACTTGTATGCGCGGTCCCATGCACCCAAAATCTTCCCGGTGGTGAAGCGATAAATGCGCCCCTTGCGTTCTCAAGCAGCAGACTTCTGAAAGCTTGCTATAACTGGAGTGATGATGTCAAGCTGTTGCAACGCGCTTTGAGCTGTCGGTGCCTGCATCCCGCTCAGCAGCACTGCCCATAGCACTAACCAGGGTGTTAACCATGCCGATAACTTGTCCCGTCTTCGTCCGTCAAGTTGGGAGTCATCTCTTGCTCTTCATTAATCTCTTGCTTTTCGTTAAGGGTTTTTCTACGAAGCAAACAAGCCATATTATCGAAATCTCTACTAACTGAAATGGCGATTCTTTGTCTCGTCCACGAACTCACTGTACAGCTGCACGAGGGCGCATTTGATGTTATCTTGTATGACGTACATTGCGCTTGGCAATCAGAGGCGCGAGTGGCACAGAGAAAAGTTAGGCTCAACTTTTTTTTTTCTCTTGTAGAAGCGTACACAAGAAATTTAAAGCGAGCGAGTACGTCGTGTTACTCACCGACTAGTTAGAAAATTTGTCGACTTCGCAAGAGTTACCTTTTTGTCAATTTACTTATGAAAATGTTTCCTTGGGATTCTCGTCATATTGACGCTGAATTCTGTGAGAGTTCCTGTTGAGCGCAGCGCATAATTAACTCATTTACCTGGCTGAAGATTGATAATGGCTATATACCTTAAGCATTTCAAAGTTATAATTTTTGTAAAATTTCTGAAATTCTTGTGGCTGCTGTCCGCCTGCTGAACGAAAATGAGTCTTAGGCTGCCGCGTCTACCTACGATATTTCCGTCCTGGCTTATAAGCTCATCTTTTCATACAGCAGAGCACTTCTTTTGAAGTTGCAACGAGCTACAAGAACTATTTCCGCAGTCTGTCAACGCCCATTCTCAAGTGAAAAGAAATTCCGAGAATCTTGGTAGCCGCTTGACAAGTCGCGTATGCAACTGAGTTCTGGCTTGTCACATAGCAATTAAGTTCATACTTCATGTAAAAAAAAGTGAAAGCGAGGCTCACGCAGAATTCCGCACGGTTGAAGCTCAGGTATTTAGCGTTCTCACTTCGCTCGCACTACCTCCACGACTTTCAACCATTGGGGCTGTCGCCAGTGAACCGTCACAGACAATGAGGTGTCATCATGTTCTATCTCTGCTTGCGTGTGAGTTTATCTCCTTGCTTTCGTGTAACGAACTGTTTGTAAAACGTCAGGATGCATAGATTATACACCTTACCCCCCTCCCTTTCGTGCCAGGCTTCAGAGCTGGTGAGTCATCCCCTCATCATCCCCGAAAGCCACATCTTCCTAGCAAGCGGTTTTTCATGGTAATTGGAGCCTTAATAAGAAATAAATTGTACACATTTCATATGTCTAAAATTAAGCAGTGAATGAACTTAAACTATTGCAACTCTACCTTTCTTGAGAAACGGCCATGTTCTACCTTACTTTTTTGCAGGCTCGTACTTGAAAACTCAATTTGCTGCGCAAGAGAGAGAGAGAGAAAGATAAAGAAAATACAGGATAGTCAGGCAGAAGAGCACTTCGGTTTGCTAACTTGTGCTTGGAAAGCTGCAGAAGAGGTGTAAAAAATGAAAGAGGAGACGAAGAGTTCGTGACAGTAGGGAAAAAAGTGTAGTGATTAGATCATTATCCAAGCAGTTTAAGGAACGTAACGTTGTCTGTAAACAGTCAAAGTTTGCCTCCAAGTCCGGTCGCTTGCAGGAGCCGTAACAAAGCCTTCAGAGCGAGTCGTGATGCAGACCAGGTATAGGCAAGGGCCCCAAGATTTCGTTATCTGCTAGTTTGTGGTTGTCCAGCTGGCCTAGTGCGGTTGAGAGGTTTGCTCCTTCGCAGTTGAAGCGTGTACAGTCACAGAGAATGTGCGCGACTGTTTAGCTGTACCCGCATAATTTACATGACGGGCTGTTAGCCGTTCCAATCAGAAAAGATTCGCATTTGAGAACGCCACCCTAAGCCACAGATGAGCCAGGATGATACTGTCACGTTGCGAGACACTGAGCGGCTGACGTAACTGTGAGGTCAAGGTACAAAGTATACAGCCATGCACTTTTGAGTGTTGGTCAATGCCATAAGTCTAACGTTAGACGTAGGGCTAGCACACGAAGTTGTTTTGTGGCGTTGGATCTTGAAAAGGAAATTGAGACACCGCTCACACCGTCATGGGGCGCGCGGATCGGCCAGCAGCGTCCGCTTGGTCATTTGCTTGAACACCACAATTATTAGACAGCCACTGCAATATTACTTTGTGGTCCTTTTCAACAATTTTTGTGGAGGACTTGCCTGATTTCCGCTACGGTATGCTCATGGAAGCAGTGACGAAAAGCGGACGGTAAACTACGGAGAGCTGCTTTGCTGTTGCAAAATATAGCTCACGGATTAGGTGTCTGCTTTATAACAAACTTAAGGGCGGCACAGAGGGCTACCATCTAGACGGGTGTAGTGGAGGTTGAAACATTTTTAGTTGTCTTGCAGTGAATCTTGCTGGAATTCCTATGATGGTGGTTGAGCTTTTAGCCATAACTGATTCATTCGTATAAATATGAATGTGAGCACTGTAAGCCGCACGTAAATACAATAGTGATGCTCATTTAGGTGCAACGGACGACATTCTTGGCTTGGTAACACCTGCTACGTTAACGTTTGCTTCAGGTCGATGTAGGAACCATAAACGAGAAGGTGGTTTTGCTGCACGGGTATAATTCTAGAGCAAAGAAGCACTATGGGCAGCAATATTATCACTGTATGTTGTACGACGCCTTTCGGCTGGTAAGGATGCTACATGGTGTGAAGGTACTCGGACGAGGTGTCAGATATGTACCCTAAGAGAATCTGTAGTTAGGTGCGCCGTCATTGAATGACCTGCAGCCATGGAATTATGGCCGCTTTAGACACACACTTCGGAAGACCGAGACACGCTCTTACTAGCAGCCCCTGGAGTACGCTCACATTCGTTTTGCAGGAATTTCTCATCACAGGAAGACTGCATCTCACAAAGCCACGAAATAAGGCATTGTAGAGCTGCAGCTTTGACTACTGAACGAAAATGAAGGAGGGATACCTTCTACTTTATCGTTTTTTCTTCATTTTTCGCAGCGAGTCCAATGTTCTTCTACCTGCTCATTTGGCAGGAAAAAAAGAAAGAAGGCGAAGACACATTGGCCCGAAATACAGAATCTTTACATAACATAATTGCAAGTCAAAGTGTTTTCTTCGTATGTTACAGAACTTATCAGAATCACTCAATTGTCATTTGTTCTTTACTTTCGTTCATTTAGCCTTCATCGCCTTCAACAACATGAAGAGTCATAGTATGATGGTAAGCATTGCTTCACCTTCTCAGCCCTAAGCACATCGAATTAAGTTGAGAGGAGACAGGGGGGGGGGGGGAAGAACTCATCAGTGACCCACTCATAAGTTATTTCTGAAACAAGCTTCCTCCATGCATTCAGTTAATTGATTATGGCGTGGCATACTGTGAATGGATTCTACAGTCACATAGGAAATTATATACATTAGAACCTTATTGATATGTTTTCAAAGAAAGAAACGCGTAAAATAAATGTATGATCCGCGAAAATATACGATTCCGTCCCAGTAAACATTACGTATGACAAGCCAGTATTGAGGTGCAAAAGCGAAAATACGTATCTCAAAAAAAAAAAAAAAACAGAAGCGTAGCTGGAACGGAAGGCTAGGTCCCCTAAGCGCTCGGATCTGTCGAGCGCTTTCTAACAGAGCCGAGAGCGCTCATCGCATAGCTCGTCCTGTCTGTTGGTGTGCGATAGCCAGAAGCCTTACCCTCCAGAACAAATCGTCCTCGTAGCTTCTAAGGACACAAAGACAAAGAGAGAATAAAATTTTATTATGAGCAATTGTACTGTGCGCTCAAAGGGGTGACCTTCTTAGTCCAGCAGCTGCGACCCGAAATGGTGGCGAAGGCTCGAAGACCCGATGGTATGCATAATTAACCAGCCAAAGGTAAACGAGCGCCGAATGAAAGTGCGCCGTATACGATGTACGCTACATGGACAAAATGACGGCGTTGCTCTGGTGACGTGTCGAGGCATGCTGTGCCGCGATGGCATGTGCGTCTACTGTGAGTCTCGAACCAAACCGCGGCTAACTGCAGGAGCGAGAGCCTCCGTTATTTCGGTCCGACTGTTAGCTTCGCAGTGTTTACCCCGATGTTGTAGTAGCTGTGGTGTGCGAACAAAAGTGCGTGGAACGAGTGTGCATCTATGTACCGTGCTGTGGATGAAGTATTTGCAATGCTCAGTGAAATCGCATGAAGTGCTATAGAAATTACATATTTTCAAAAATCCGTTTGAAGATTTTGACAACCAGAGTCACCGCCTGCCTTCGAGTCAGTGTGTTGTTGACAGAGAGCGCATATCGAGCAATTTGGAGAATACATGTTGTATGTGGTTGAGTGTTGCGGAGAAAACGTGATTAGTACTATTGAGCAAAGCAGCGTGAAGGGCGAAAATTAGGCACGGCGGAGAAGCCGCCGTCACTTGCGTGGAGGTAGCCTGCCGCTTAGCGTTTTACAAGTATACTGGAGAAGGTCTTTTTTGCACACTTGAATGCGAGTTCCTGGTGGCAGAACGCATCGTATACGACCGCACTTTCTCACAGTGCTAAATGTAGCAGCCTAATAATCCTATTTTCGGGGAACGCATTAACCAGAACATGCGGCATTGTGAGGTGATCTTTAGGTTTCGGTATTGTGAGCATAGAACCGGAAAATCATAATAAGCTGGTACGAATCAATAAGGTGCTACTGTATTGAGTATAGGACGAAATGATTAAATCGTAAAAATGAATGTAATCAGCATGATTGTTAATGCACATTTTCTTCATTCTAGTCCTCCCGTAAAGCTTCATTACTAGGAGACAGAAAACGTTATTCACATCGATTTTTTTTTGTTTCAGATAAGACGTCGTGGCTACTCATTCTGGAGTAATATGGTAAATGAGTTCCTTCGCTTGACCTTTAGGTGAAAAGGGCCCAATTCACTATAATATTTAGCAAATTAGTGTGAAAAAATTTAAAAGGTCTGGCGTATCATAATAAAGCAACTCACTAACGTGTGACCACCTCTATAATGCAGGCGAGATGTAGGCTTGAGCCCAAGGAATGTTCATGCAAGAAAAACATCCTTAGAGGAAGGTGTTTAATCACCTTTCTCTAAAGCTCTCAAAAGCCCGTGAAATTCAGTTGCAGAATTATTTTGCTTTGATCAGTAAGAATGAAATTTTTATCAGTGTAATGTTTTGAGTTCCAATGTTACCTCAATGAGCATCTTTTTTTATAGTAGTAGGGCACCACGAGAGACGTGTCTTCTACGTCACCAGTTTCATTCTTGTCTTCAATGATAGTGGTCAGGCCTGAGAAAATAAATCTGTTTCTGTCTGATTTGCCCACTTCTTGGGCTTGTGGTGACTGCGCTGTCAGCATTTCACTTGGTTCACGTCATCTTCCGTTCACATAATGGTCTGCGTTGTGCCCGAGCGCTTGCAGTGCCTGTGGCAATGTGTAGCGAATGTTAACATAATACTAATGCGTTAAAGGACTTATTCACGCCGGTTGATACATCATCAACGAAGCGAAAAACAGCGTAAAACACAAGACACAGAAAGATATGGACGAAGCGCTGACTTCTAACCAAGATTTTATTGCATACATGGGGGTATATGTAGCACACGCAACATGATAGGAGGGATATGATAAAGTCATAACAGTGACGTGAAACTTTTGTTACTGAATGCTTTCATGCGTCTAAATAAAAACTGCGAAGAAGCATTCACACACTTGACAAATACGCAACTTCCCTGCTGAGGAGTGCTAAGGATAGAGTGACCCACAGAATCGCGGCGTGTTAGCTTTCTGCTTGTGAAAGACCGTCGGGATGACTTGTTTCTGTTCGAACCTCAAATTATCTATCTCTGCTAATATAAATACTGCTTATATTGGGAGATAAGGGTTCATCGTTGCTGCCTAAAACTTCACGTTTGGTTGAGGAGCGATGCCAGAATACCTCAAAATTTTCACAACAGTATTCACGTATCCAGGGGCACGTGTCTGTGTTTTAATTTCAACTATCTGAAGCTACAGACCCTTGACGGCATCTGGTTTTCTCTACCGATGTGCCCAGAGTAGCATTGGTGGGCACAAATTGATTGATGCGTGGGGTTGAACGTCCCAAAGCCACCATATGATTATGAGAGACGCCATAGTGGAGGACTCCGGAAATTTCGACCAGCAAGGTTCTTTAACGTGCACTAAAATCTGAGCACACGGGCCTACAACATTTCCGCCTCCATTGGAAATGCAGCCACCGCAGCCGGGACTCGATCCCGGGACCTGATCGGTGGGCAGAAAGAGCGCTAGAAAATAGCCAGCAAATTTTCTACCCTTTTCTTTCCTCATTTGGCAAAATAGATTCAAATAAATGTTCTTTTGAGCTACATATAAAACTACAAAAGATTGCCTTGAACGCTACGCACTTTAGTTTTATCTGAAACGCTAATAAGAGACTTTTCTTACCCTTGCAGGAATGTGAAAACGCCTGTTCAGTTTCGAAGTTACTAGCTTTGAAATGAGATGACTGGAAGCTTTTTTGGGCACAACACTTGTAATCTTGAAATCCTATATAAAAAGTGCTAAACGTCACGAAAGAGCGCTACTGTGAATTATGTAAATTGCCTTGTGAGCGAAGGATATTGCTGTGGGAAGAGCGCGCATTTTCAAAGGTTGTAACTCGAGTAAAATATTTAGGCTCAAAAAGAACTAGCCAAATTCTCTACTTGACTTCACCTAATGCCATTGCCCGGATCTTTGAAAAGATATATGAAAGTTTGTTTGCGTTCGTAGAATGTTTTGCTTTTTATTTCTAGGATGACCCAATTTCATACAATTCTGCGCTCTCTCATGCGTTGCCTTTCTAGCTCCTTTACTGGGGCTGCAGATAGTCAATATAATTATGCGGGTAAATCTTACCGTATTAGGTTCTCTTTTTACAATTTGTTCACCACACGACTCTGATAGTCGAGCCTCACTTTGATGTGCTTGTTGTGACTGACATTTCTCCACAAAAAATATGATGCAACCATCTTTTATGCTGCATCACCTGATAATGTGTGTTTCACTTTTGTGTTACTATAATCGTAGCACTATTTTTCAGCAGCAAACAGAATACCTAACGAAGCTGACTTGAGCATAGTTCATTGCATTGCTCTCTGCTCAATTGCTTTTAACCGTCATCGTAAACGGAATGCCTCGTTTGAAAGTAACGCCAAGCTACTCGCTAACTTCCTTTTTGTAGGGTGGTGGAGGACTTATGCGACCAGGCTTCATCGGTGGTGGCATGGCTGGTGGCCTCATGGGTGGCCCAATGGGTGGATGGGCTGGTGGTCTCATGGGTGGCCCAATAGGAGGAATGGCTGGAGGCCTTATGGGTGGCCCAATGGGTGGATGGGCTGGTGGTCTCGTGAGGCGTCGAATTCGAATACGTGGAATGGCTGGTGGTCTTATGGGTGGCCGATTTGGGGGAATGACTGGTGGCCTGATGGGTGGCCCAATTGCTGGAATGGCTAGTGGCCTGATGGGTAGCCCAATGGGTGGAATGGCTGGTGGTCTCATGGGTGGCCCATTAGGTGGAATGTCTGGTGGTCTCATGGGTGGTCCATTCGGTGGAATGGCTGGTGGCCTCATGGGTGGCCCTATGGGTGGTTGGGCTGGTGGTGTCACGCATCGTCGAATTCGAATACGTGGAATGGCTGGTGGTCTTATGGGTGGCCCATTTGGTGGAATGGCTGGTGGCCTCATGGGTGGCCCATTTGGTGGAATGGCTGGTGGCCTCATGGGTGGTCCATTGGGCGGAATTGGTAGTGGCTTCATGGGTGGCCCAATGGGTGGAATGGCTGTCGGCGTCATGGGTGGCCCAATGGGTGGAATGGTTGGTTGATTGACTGGTGATATGATCAGCGCCACGAAGACATTCGGATACTCGAGCCCCATGCAAACGGTAAGAAATATCAGATGCTACATTCTTTTTCTCAACAACTTCTTATAGGAAAGAACTCTAAGTTTCTTTCACCCGAAGTTATAAGTTGTCTTCTCATAACATTTCTGAAACTGCGGCTCGAAATTATCACCATTGCAGGTACCACATTATTACGAGGGAAACCGGCTACATTTCGGTCAGTACTAAATGGATACTGACAGAAATTTTTATTCAAATGAATGTAGGCTTATATTTGAAAAATTGGCTTCTAAAAGTGTCTTTAAATATTCTGAAACCAAAGGAATAATTTAAAAACGTGTTTCGGCTAAATGACACGGCTGAAAGAATCTTTACTCTAAATCGCAATGCTTACAGGGAGGCAAATAAACAATAAACACGCCGCATCGACCCTGGTCTCACCATACCTCTTTCCCGTAGTCACAACGGGCATAATTTAAGTAGTACTTACATATTTCATATTTGTAAACTTTAAGATGATTGTATAAGCGTAAGATATTTCCATCTAAAATATGACGAAATCGATGGTATGGTACACTCATATGCCAGGTAATCTTGGTATGAGAGTGATGAATTTTCTTTCCGTCACTACTGCGGATGCAACTTCCAGTGTACATGTTCAACTTGTTATCTTATTCATTTTTCGTGATAAATCCGTCAGGCTTAATTTTAAAATATTCATAATCCGTGCTTCAGTAAACAACTATGCGTTCTATACATTACCTATTATTACAGGTACCCCATGAAGTACCAAAGTGGTACATACGTTCACTTAGAGGAATAAAAAAGTGTTGTTGTGTGCCATACTGTGGCCGAATCAGTACGAATGATTTACATTTAGCAGTGCCTATATTGAGTGTATTGTATTTTTCTAAAAAAAACTGTTTCTCTAGTGTGAGGGAGCAGCAAAAATTTTCCTGTGGTCAACTCTGTTTTCCATTCAACCTTATTCTCTCTCTCTCTCTCTCTTTAGGAAATAACGCGTTGTTGCTTCAATTGCGAAGACATAATTTTAATGTTGTTTGGATCCCATTTCACGTTTGCCACTGGGATGAAAATAATTGTTCCATTGTTATAAATATTTAATTGTTGCTATGAGCACCTATGTTACCTGTCCGGCTATTATGCTGGTAAGGGACCCCTTTTCAGTTATTTCCCATGAAAACCCCGAGTTACACAGACACGTCAATTCTTTGAAAATGCGGTGGTAAGCATATGATGCCATCTATACAGAAGCCTTGATTTTCACTGAAGGTACCTGTTATATTTGGCTCACTGGGTGTACTGCCTTTGAATTTTGAAGCGCATTATACTTGAGACTTACAAGAGTGACGTTGGCAAAATATAAAATTGATTCAATTATGTGTCTTTTTCTTTTTTCCTGATGCAACAGTTTGGAGGATCTGGATTCGACAATGCATGTCCGTGACAGGCTCCTTCGGCAGTGTGTATGAATGAAAAGAACATACATTGTAATATACATTGTTTTGTTGCTCTTCATATTTACCCTCTCATTTTTTATTCATTGTCTCCCTGCAGTATGCAAAGCATTGAAAAGCCACAAGGGCTCCGAGCTACGATAAAAAAATTGATACGCGCACCGTTTTTTTTGCAGCAAACATGACTTCGGAATCTTTGAATTGTGACACCTAGAAGTCCGATACACGCAACGCAGACTAAAATTACAAATACTGGGAGTTCCTTGCTACACTGAACAGACAACGGAAGGCCTGCTATGAAGATAGCTTCATCTGTACATCACGAATGCAAACACTCGTTCACTGTTATGTGCCCTTATATTTTGTTATGTAGACACAATTATGTCTCTCATCGAGGTCTTCGAGGGTGAAGGCTGGCAAGTGGTCTAACGCGCTCATCACACATTCACAAGGCTTCAATATGGCTAGCTGTGCTGAGCCCCATACAAACACGTGCCTGTGGCGTGGGAGGAAGCATGCATAGCACAGTAAACTGACAAGCTTTGAGTCGGCCTCTTGGAATGGTGTAAGCTGCCAACAAACGTACGTGGCGTTGGTGTCATTGATTTATTTACTTATTTATTTATTTATCAATTTATTTATTTATAAATACTGCAGCGCTATACCGGGCTATGCAGGAATGGAATATTATACACTAATAGAAGCAGAAAAAATCGTTCAAGAAAATAACACAAAATGCAGAGCAAGAACGCTCATAAGAAATTATTACTACAAATAGAGTAGATTATACCTCAGGAATATGTAGATAAATTGGAACAATAAAGCAAGGAAGATGTTATCGGTCGCCAAGTCCTTCAGACAGCTGTGTGGCAAGTATTCTAAGACTCGACTGGATCCGGCGGTCAGAGAAATGTCTTCTGAGGCCTCCCGACCCATGTTGTATAAAAAGAAATGACAAGAGCAGGTTTTACGTCACTGTAATAAAGAAGGATTTACAGACACAAGATAAAGAGAACAAATCTCACCAGGAACTTTCGACTGCTAATCGATGTAAATTTACGATTGCGAGTTCTGCAATACATTAACTATGAATGTTCGACGGTGGTGAATAGGAACACTTCCTAACTTCTCGCACCCATATGTTTGGCAGCGCTGATATAAAAAAAAAAATGTTGCCCGCATGTTCCCAAGGGTTGAACTGGAGTAACTGCGTCGCATGATGGGGGGTTATCGCGGGAATTGGGAATAGTTGGGAATCCGTAATTGTTATTTCTTCTTTATTAATATTATCTGTTGAATGAAGAAGAAGCGTCGCCTTGAACGAGTGGTGAGACGCTGATGCGCAATCCTGTGCCTACAGATGCGGGGTGGCCAATGAACGGTTGAACCGCTAAAGAAGTCGGTTTATACTAGCAGACGCTGCCAGCGTTGGCCTTGCGAGGCGAGGCATGGTTTGTGAAGGCTTAGTTGTTATTTCGTATCTCTTACTCTCATTTATTAAATGAAGGAGAAGCCTTGCCTACATATACGTATGGCCAGTGAACGGTTGGGCTGCTCGAGCAGGCAGCTTTTGCTGGCGACACCGCCTGCGTCGGCCTGGCGAGATGAGAAAGGGGGGGTGGAGCAAGCAGTTGGCACGAGACGCAAGCATGCGGCACGATACGCGAGCATGTGCAGTGGGGGGTGTAAAGACATCAACGCACGATGTGTGACATCGTGCGACAAAGAAATGCTTCCCTTTATTACGTCCCCTAGCTGGTAGTGAATAATTTTGGAACTATCAATCCCAAAGAAATACCTGTTGTTTGTTAGTTTTTTTGAGCAAACGTCCGAGCAAATTTTTGCAAACACGATGTCGAGAAAATTCAGCTTAGCAGATGATGTAGGTGTAAAAGGAACACTGATATCAAAGAGCTTTTAGGAACTTAAATGTTTAAAAAAATTTGGCCAGTAGTAACTTTGCGAAAGTTAGCGCGTCCATCTTTCGTTCATTACTTCGTAAGTTAAAGACACACTAAAGTGAAGCAATGCCTTCACTTGGCTTCACGAACTGCACTCTGAAAATTCCCATGCCACATGTTTTACTATCCTAACTTTATTACCAGCGAAAATTTATCAAGGTTGAAGATTTGTTTTTAAACTTCTAGCCAAAACCTCTGCAACAACTATAGCCCAATGGACACCGTACATTAAGGGTCTCTATGACAAGAACACCAAGATATATCAAACAACTACCGACGCTCCTGCCATTGACACCCACTTGACACATCTTTGGGAAGCTCGTCGAGGCCTCACGAAACGGTGGCGCCGACAAAAGCTAAATAAGAAACTCAGACTCCGTATAGCGAAAATCACGGAAGAAGTAAACGCATACTCAAAAGAACTTTACAGCAACAACTGGCGCACCTTCTGCGATTCCTTAAAAGGCACATTAAGCACGAAAAAGACGTGGAACATCCTACGGAGTCTTTTGGATCCCTCTGCAACAAGAACCGAAACAAACACTACCCTTCAACGGCTAGCTGGGGAATTTCAAGGTGATCCGGATCAGTTAATGGAAGAGCTGAAACAACGCTACACAGGAGAATGCAAGCGAAACGTTAGCCCAACACCCAGTCAAGAATACAATGGAGAACCCAACACTGAGCTCGACGCCCCCATAACCTTTGCGGAGGTTCATGCAGTGGCTCAAAGCTTCAAAAGAAATACAGCGCCCGGATTGGATGGCATTACAAATGCCATGGTACGGAACCTCAGCGATGAAGCATTACAAGCCATCACAGACCACTTTAATCAGGAAGTCTGGACACCGAGTGGAAAGATACCTGCGGAATGGACACTGGCACAGGTTGTACTCATACCTAAACCAGGCAAACGGCGAAGCCTTGATAGCTACGACCAATTTCTTTAACGTCATGCATTGGCAAGCTCTTCGAAAAAGTTATACTCACTCGCCTTGACCAATACACAGAAGAACGGGGGCTTCTACCAACATCTATGTACGGATTTAGGCGAGGAGTGTCTACCCAGGATATCTTCTTACTGCTCAAAGAGGAAGTGCTTAACCCAGCGCCAGGTAGTCTCAACAATCTACTCGTTGCACTCGACATCGAAAAAGCATTTGATAATATTGCGCACTCTACCATACTAAACGGTCTTGCAGCCATTTGATGCGGACAACGCATATTCAACTATGCCTCTGATTTTCTTGGAAATCGCAAGGCGCAGATTGGCATAGCTGGTACCAAATCATCACCATACGACCTCCCACTGAAAGGCACACCTCAGGGCTCCATCTTGTCTCCATTTTTATTCAATATCGGCCTCCGGAAACTAGTCCTCCAGCTGGAGACTGTACCAAACCTGGGCTGTGCCTTTTACGCGGACGATATTACGCTATGGGCAACAAAGGGCTCCTATGGAGAACGACAAGATGTACTGCAAACCGCTATAGACATGATTTAAGGCTACCTCACTGCTGCAGGCATATCGTGCGCACCTAGCAAATCGGAATATTTGCAAATAAGACCCCCACGCACTCGGTCCAACCGTGCACCCGCGCTGCAGCTAGAAATTGCCGGACAGATAATCAACAGGACCCCAGTAGCTCGAATATTAGGCATGCACGTGCAAGAAAACAACAGCGTAAAGACTGCAATAGGCAAACTCAAACACACCGTAAAGAGTATTGCATCCCTTATAGCTAGAATTGCGCGAAGTAATGATGGGATGACAGAGGCCGACACGGTACGCCTTGTACATGCCTTCGTTCTCAGCTGAGTCACGTTCGCTCTTCCCTTTCAATCAACACGCAAGCCCGAAATAGAGCAGATTGACAGACTCATCAGAATTGCGTACAAGGCAGCATTGCGACTTCCGAACAGCACAAGCACAGAAAAACTCATGGGACTCGGCATGCATAATACGTATGAAGAATTGGCCACCGCCACGCTAATCGCACAGCGAGAACGACTCACCACTACGCTCCTGGGAAGAACACTGCTACAGAGGCTGGGATACCCTCTCACCCCTAAATACTGTGGCGATGAGACAGTCATTGTACCCAAGCAAATACGTGATCAAATAATCGTGGAACCAGTTCCAAAAAACATGCATCCGCTCTACAAGAAAAAGCGCCGTCAAGCGCGAGCACGAAAACTCCTGCAGAGAAGTAGCGATCCAGACGCTTACTTTACCGACGTCAGTCTTTATCCCGCGCCACCACAAGGCTCCAGAAAACAAGCATATGCATTGGCAGTGACTAACCAAAGCAAAGTCGTGGCCTGCGCGTCCCTACGCACCAGATCAAGTGCCACCGCAGAGGCAGCAGCTATAGCCTTGGCAATCAGAGAAGCCGAAAGAAGGGGGCGCTCAGCGTATATTTTGACAGACTCACAAGCTGCATGTCGCTTATACCTTAGAGGCACATTTCCAAGGTGCGTCACTGATATTTTGGGGTCCATGTTGATGGAGGCACATGGCGTCACTCGGTGCCCAGGGCATGACGGCCTGGGGGGGAACGAGGAGGCAAACTGCGTAGCTCGCGGACTTACTGGCCGAGACGCAGGACTCTCCTCAGGACACCTCACAGGGCATCATGAAGAGCAAAGTGTAACAAGCAGGCAGATATTGGAAAACCAACGCCTTACAAGACGCACGTACGCCCCTCCACATCCGAACTTAAGCAGCCAACAAGCCCGGGATTGGCGCCGCCTCCAAACGAACACATACCCCCACATATCAAAACTACACGCAATTTTTCCACAGATATACACAACAGGGATATGCCCATGGTGTAGTAACCACACAGCCACACTTACACACATAACCTACCAATGTACCGAGCAGCCAGCCAATGCAGTATCTAGGTTGGTGCGCTCACTACAAACACTCACAACGTGGTCTTGGGAGGCACGGCCTTCCGGGCTGGCACTGGGGAGCCAACTGGTGACCCTAGACCAGGCCCGGCGAGCCGCTGTGGCCAGTGGGGCTCTACAAGAGGGCTCCACCCGGGATTAGTCACGTAATTTTAATTCTTCAATAAAGTTTATTCTCTCTCTCTCTCTCTGCGCGTGACATCACAGAAATCACAGCATATCCACGGAGTTAATGATGATGAGTGGGGCGAAGCATCCGCCTGCCTCTCTATCCATCCATCCATCCATCCATCCATCCATCCATCCATCCATCCATCCATCCATCCATCCATCCATCCATCCATCCATCCATCCATCCATCCATCCATCCATCCATCCATCCGTCCTTCCGTCGGTCTGTCTGTATTTATCAGCGCCATCTATTGTATGATAAGAGAGACGTTACTGGGTATAGGCACCGTTCAGTCAAGTTTTCCAGTCTCACTACAGCGCCAGAATACATCGCCTAGCGGATAAAAAAAAAGCTTGAGATGGCCTCGCTGAAAATGGAACGCGGCGTGAGCGTCTCCCGCCCTGCATCTATCGGGGGATCGTGGCCGGGATACACGGGGGACGCGGGTACGCGTCTCTGTTCTGCGTGCTCCTAACGGCAAATGTCAGAAACTTTGAGACGGGGCAGTGTGAGCAACGCAGCTCCCTCTGGTCAGTGTGCGGTGCCTATGCTGGAGAAATGACGGACTACCTTCGCCTGTCAAACTTCAAAAAGTAATTTTCGTACTTTCGCGACATTGGCTCGATGAAATTTTCTAGATGTTTCCTGTCTTAGGTCTATGACACACATAAATAGGTAAGATATATCATTTTTATTTATTAGAAGGTACGTATGATCCAGTAAGACGCCTTCACGGTCTACGACGTCACGGTGTTTGATGTGGTAATGTACAAGTGATGTCTTCACCCGCAATTTTGAATGCGAAGCATTTCTTAGCGAACTTCGGCGACCTTGAGCGTATCTATCTATCTATCTATCTATCTATCTATCTATCTATCTATCTATCTATCTATCTATCTATCTATCTATCTATCTATCTATCTATCTATCTATCTATCTATCTATCTATCTATCTATCTATCTATCTATCTATGTGTCTATCTGTCTATCTATCTATCTATCTATCTATCTATCTATCTATCTATCTATCTATCTATCTATCTATCTATCTATCTATCTATCTATCTATCTATCTATCTATCTATCCGTCAACCACTTTTAGCTCTCCTGGCCGTTTCGATAACGGTATCGATACCAAACTTGGTATGACATAACAAGAAAGTAAGAAAACACATTTGACTACTCATAACATGAAAATCAAGACATGTTTGTCATAAATATACTTATTTACATTTCATGGTCCTGCAGCTTTTGCGGTGATTTCGTTCACATGGCATGTTGCGAAACTGATATGATATGTCATGATTGCATGACAAACACAAGCGACAAGCCTTCACATAAAATGATTATGACATACGTGTTATGTGGGAACATGAGAACATGCCGCACTCATGATACGCTCGCGGCCGTTTCGCCAGCGTCACGAATACCAAATTGGCATTACAGTACGTGAATGGATGACGAAGGTATGTGAATAGTGCAAACATGATAATCATGAGATGCGTGTCATGTAACTACATGACTTCATGCCACAATCATGATCCGCTGGTGGCCGTAGCGCTTGCTTCACCTATACCAAATTTGGTATTACGAGACATGAATGGATGACGAAGGTATGATACTGGTGCAAACATGATAAACATGAGATCTGTGTCATGTAACACGACTACATGCTGCGCTCATGATGCGCTCGCGGCCGTTTCGCTAGCTTCACATGTACCAAACTCGGTATTACGTGACGCGAACGGAGGAAATAGGGTAAAATGCACATCCGAACATGATAATCACGACGTGCATGTCATGTAGCAATATGACTACATGATCGTTTCTCTTGTCGTTTCTCTTGCTTCACATGTGCCAAATTTGGCATTACGTGACACCAATGGATGACGACGATATGTGACTGGTACAAACATGATAATGATGAAATGTATGTCAAGGGAGAACATGACTACATGCCACAGTCAAGGTGCCAACACATTTCGACATGACGCGGTGCGCGTGCTTACCAGCGTTCATTTCGTCGCGTCACGCCGGCGTTGCCTCACCAGGCACCTGTCCTGCCATAAACTCACAGGCGCGCGCCACGCTGCGTTGCTTTGGTGGATGCAGCGTTTCAGCGCGTTCAGCGTCCCTCCGTCACGAAAAGAGGGAGACGCAGTGTTTTCTCGGTAGCGCATCGGCGCGAAATGCAGCATGTCGCAATCCGCGCTGGTTGCTGTCAAGCCGCGCCGACGGATGCTGATCACGCCTGACGTCAGACTATTGAGAGCTCGCGTTTTGCTAACGTAGCATTGCTGTGCCAGCTCGCGCGTGCGTCAACGTTACATTAGAGTATTTTGGGCCCTTCACGATGGGCTCGCGGGCGTTTTGCTAGCTTCACACATAGAGAATTTAGTGTTACGTGACGTGAATAGATGACGAAATATATGACTGGTGCAAACATGATAATTCGGACATGCGTGTCATGTAAGAACATGACAACATACCACGCTCATAGCGTACTGTCGCCCGTTTCACTTGCTCCACATATAATAAATTTGGTAACACGTGACGTGAATATATGACCAATGTAAACGACACACCCAAACATGATAATCATGACAGGGTAGTCATGCACGGCATCATTTACCTCCACCTCGTAACGTTGTGCTGGTTTTAATATCAACATTTCTTATTAGTGCTTCGCATATCATCGATTACCACTGTACGTGGGATCTGCCAATTTTTTAACATGTTTTCTCGCTTACAAAGCGTCAGTGTCGCGGTTGGAGTGATGTTTACGGGATTGTGAATTGTACTTTACTATTACTGCAAAAAATGACTTTGCTGTTTAATGTCTCTTAGAGTAAAAAAAAAGCCTTCTATTTTTGTTCTTAAACACTCGCTTCTGTGAGCAGAACGATTGCTGTGCTTCGTCTTTCAATTATTTGCGTCTGCACTTCAATAAAAGTGGCCTAATTGTTCAATAAAACGGACCTAAAATGAGATCATTTTCCAACCTCTTTTTTTTTCGCTCTTTTAATGTGTAATAAATAATTTTTTTGGAAGAAGCATCTAATGCAGCCGTCTCTTTACCGTTCTTACTATATCAAAGTGGACAATGCCATCACCCTTCTCGTGTCAGCGAGTACTTGAGTAGTTTTGTCTGCTTGCTTTGGAAACAAAGACGTATATAAAAGAACACGACAGCTGTGGACCTGGGTGACAGTCGTTAGGTGGCATCATGATGCCGTACACGTGGGCCTTTGTCCTCATTCGTGAGTACTTGTTTAGTTTCTCACCTATCAGCATAACGTCAGTACTGTGCATGTGTCCAACAGCGAATCGTGGAATTGACGAGCTTATCGCATTCACATTGATTTAGGGTCAATAAAGGCATATGCGGCGTTATTATGAGAGAAGATGAAAAAACAAAAAAAAACAACACCATGGTGTTATTATGTAGAAGAACTGTGTTTTGCAAAGTTATTTTAGGCAGAAGGCGAATTTGTGTGTAAGAATGCACAAAAATAACGCATTAGCTCAGCAGACGGGTAAATATTTTGCAGGTTAATATGCATAGAGGCCAATTTTAAATGTCACTTTAATGCGCAGAAATAAAGTCTTTTTCATTCCATTCCATTCTATTTAAAGCGGGGTCCACTTTCGCGAAATTGTGCAGACACAATTACATATGAACTTTCTTACAGTGCAACACCAGAAAAAATACAGGACAGGGAAGGAGTAAAAGAGAAAGAAAAGACGGCGCTGTCTTTTCTGTTACTCCTTCCTTCTCTTTTACTCCTTCCATGTCCTGTATTTTTTCTGGTGTTGCGCGGTAAGAAAGTTCACGATAGGATCCTAACCAACTGGCCCGACTTACCGTCTTACTACAATTACAAATTTATGCTTGTTTAACCCTCGGAGGTGTTTTGATTAAAACATGCATATTGTGGTTGAATGCATGACCTTTTATCTGATGCTTTTGCACCTTTTCACATTACCTAATATCACGCTTTCTATTTATGTACACAATGCCCTATTGCCATATTGTAACACTACATTCGCTCTAAAGCCCTATCGCTGTTCTTGTTCGTTTTTTTTTCAGTAGCTGCAAGTGCTGCAGCATGGACCGAAACGCCAATGTCACCAATGTACTTTCTCTTTCCATGGGTAAATATGGCTAATAAGTAAACATAACAGAATCTCTATGAGTAATATTTCAAAAATAGGATGGTGAGAAATCGCAGGAGACAAGCAAACTGGACGAGTTGGCGGGTTTCCATGATAAATATACAAAACAGCGCTTAGACAAAGTATGAAGGAAGGAAGCCACGCACAAGGTCTACGTGACAGGCTACGTGAGCTCACGGTGTACATCACGCCCGACAGGCAGATAACGAGTGTCGCACTCTCGCCGTTATGGCTACTGGCGGTGCCGGCTGACGTTTTCATATTTAATTTACATATATACCTCATGAAGCGGACTGAGGAATAGGCGCCATAGTAGCTCAATTGGTAAAGCATCAGACGCGGTATTGGAAAATTGCTGGTTTAGTCCCTGCCCACGGCAAATTATCTCTTCGTCCACTTTTATTTCTTCACGTTTACATTACAATTACTTCTAATATTGTGCCCTATACTTACCTTGGCACGATTGTCGGTCAGATCTCATTAGGGAAAGAAATAACACAGGAAGGAAGTGTAGCTTTCTTCCTTCGTTCTGTGTCTAAGCACTGTTTTGTATATTTATTGTGATAAGAATTCGCTAAACAAAAATTTTCTTCTACCTTAGCTTCCGAAGAGGAAGCCGCTTGACAAACCACTGTCTTTTTAAAAATGCCCTGTTAATCGATGTTTTATCCTTGCAAGCCTCTGTGTTCCCTGAATTTCGCTTTGATTGAAGTAATTATTTATTATGCTACCGAACGCTTGCATTATCACGAATTTATTTATATATTTACGCTTCCCACACTATATTTTCACATTTACTGCAATAATACTGCATACAATGATTGTCATGAATATACATGTACTTCATATTTGACTCACTTATTAGTGTAATTCAAGTCACGCTTGTGTTGTTGAGTGTTAACTTTTGCTCGATGAATATTGGGGAAGAAAACCTGGTCGACCGCTTCCAGAAAAATAATCAGCAAATATTCTTCCGGTCGAATTCGTATTGTTAATATTAGTAAAGTGATAGTATCAGCCTAAATGAAAACCTACCCCGAGCATACTTTACTATCAAATATTGCAGTGACTGAAGTTTAGCCTAAAGCTCTTGCACAAGCGTCATTTTACACCTTGTTTGGTGATTCTTGACAAGAATGATGTTAATACACAACTACTACCAGATATGTGTGTATTAAAGTATTATAAACGGTCCTTGACTCGATTGTTTGAACAATTACAGCGGAAGCATGTAATCGAGATAACACACGTTTTTTGTGGGCGATAGGTCACGTTAAGCATTCTTGGCAGGTGACTCGCTTCTGAGCTGTATAGGTATTACATCTAAACCAATACTTGTTTATTACGTCGTATAAATCAGAAAGTTAGCAATACTCAACAAGGTGTTCAGTGCTTGTCTGCGGAAAATTAGCCCACGTATGATAGAAATCAACACAAGAAAGGAAGGAAAATAGGTGGAAAAGAACGGAAGGGAGGTTTACCAGCCTATAGGCAGCCGGTTTGCTACCCTGTGCATAGAAGGGGGACGGGGAGATGAAAGATAGAGAGCAGAGAAGGAAGAGAGATAAGCACGGCACATTCGGCAGCACACGTGCGCACACTCAGCCATAACAACACAACTACTGGTATTTGCCTATGATAGAAGATAAATGGTCGGACGGAGGGATCTTACGTAGGGCATATTGACACTGACTGATATAGCCAGTTTGTTTAATGTAGTTAGCCGTGCTAATTTTAACCCCTCTCCCAACCCCAAGTAACGATAACAAGCTGTGATAGTGGCTGTTTGTGCTCCAAGTTGCCACAAGAACTTCTATAGGTGTATCATTCCCATGAACAGAAGCATCGATTCCACAAAAATAATGAACTTAAAGAACTGAGCGAAGCAGGTGGAAACGTATATGTTTATGTTTTTTGGGTGTTTCAGCCTGCACACAGGTGCCCCGTGGGAAGTAAGGACTTCGACAAGTGCGCGGTGAATGACGTAAGATGAAGAAGCCAAAATTTTATCTTCTTAAGTTTTTATGATTTTTTTTGTTCTAAAGGGGTTACAATGCATCATAACTACCCAAAATACATCAATTATGCATTAACACGGAAGCAATAAGTGACATTTTAGTGAAGCACGTCATGATAACCTTCACCAATCAAGTTCACATGAGAGCCGTATCTTCATGCTTCCTATACAGATAAAAATGGCTCGAAAAGAGTAGTGGTGTTCGCGTTTCGCCGCTCTAATGTTACACCTTTGTTTTTAGGGCGAAACTACTTAAAACAACAGCCGTTCGTCCCTCGTAGCCGTTGTAGTATGTAACAAGTATAACATTTTGACCATCAAGGTGGTGCCGGTGAGAGATTTCTTCTGTGCGTTGTTAAACAATAAAAGATAGTGCTCAATGTACATGCCAATAGCTGCTAAGGAGGAAGGAGAGACAGGAGAATTGAGCTTTTAGTTACCGCGCATGCTGCGATCCACATTAGCAGCCATTGGCATGTACATATAGCACTATCTGACAAGAAATGGTTGCTACGTTATTCTCGCTGGGTGTAAACTCCTTAGTTTTAGAAAGGTTTAGCGAGCGTTGAGCCGCAGTGCCATGAATACAATGAACTAGTATATACCATGAATGAACTAAATGTGGTTAAAGATGGGAAGTAGATACGAAGCGCAAGCCGTAAGAAAGTAAAAGCCGAATTCTCCTGTCTCTCATTTCCCATTAGCAGCCATTGGCATGTACATTGAGCACTATCTGCCAGGAAAAGGTTGCTACGTTACACTCGCTGGGCGTAACTGTTTTAGAAAGGTTTAGCGAGCGTTGGGCCGCAGTGCCATGAATACAGTGAACTAGTATATACCATGAACTCGAGGTCGTGTAAGGTGGAAAGTTGACCCGAAGCCCAAGCCATAAGAAACTGTGCGTGTGCCACGTATCGTTTAGTCCCTGGAATGTCTGCTAAATGACGGTGCTTCTATGTGGGGAAAATATGATGAAAAGATGCGAGATGGTGGCACTTGGAGTGTTGAATAGATGAACGAATGGACACACAGGCAGATGCATAGATGGACGCATGAACGGACGCAGGGGCGGATGCATGGACGAACGCAGGGGTGGACGCACGAACAGACGCATGCACGGACGGGTGGATGGACGCATGGACGGTCACACAGACGGACGCATGGACGGACGGAAGCAAAAACGAAAGGACGAATGCTTCGCCCCACTCTCCATCATTCACTCCATGGATATGCTGCCAATTTTATGCCTCCACATCAAGGAAGGCTACGACGGTGTGATTAAACAGGATATGTCGTGAATACTGCGAATAGCGGACGCGCATAGTAGAGTAATGATTTTCTAAATATATATGGAAGAACTTAAGGCAGTTATCAAGAGAAAAATATGAATCTGGGTTTAGACAAGCATTTTGAGGGGGTGTACACAAGGGTGTCTTCTGTCCCCTTCACTGTTTATGCTAGACGTTTTATAGTATTTTGTTCGTTTGCCCTCAGGGCACACAATATACTAGAGAATCGAGGGGCAAACCTAAATGAGTATGCCAGTTTATCAATAGGCACAAAATCAACTGAGAACTTCACAAAGCTACACAGCATTGCCGTAGTATGTAGACCAAGAGGCGGATCCTTAAATAATGTAATTAAATGAGCAAACTTGCTGTAATACAGCAAAGACGTAAACTTTAACAGTGGCTAATGGTGAACAAAACACATTTAAATAATATACGGCGTTTTGAATGTTTGTTATAGTATCCGAAGTATAACGAATTCCAGGACGGTACAAAGCTGAAGACACAGCTTCTGTTTTGTCCCGTTTTGAATGCGCTATACATCAGGACGCTTTGGCTATCCTACGAGCACACCGCGCAACTTCAGTTTGTTATAGGTGGAGAAAGGTGATTTCAATCTCTAACAGCCTCACAAAATATGCAAATCGTTTGATGTTTGTACCACTTTTGGAAACGTGTGACTTCTGACGATGGTCGAAGCGGGCTGATATCAAAGGTGAGGAATGTGTGAACAACGAAGACAAAAATGGTAGCATATCCACGGAGTGAATGATGGAGAGTGGGGCGAAGCATCCGTCCGTCCATTCGTTCTTGTTTCCGTCCATTCATGCGTCCGCCTGTGTTACCATCCGTGCATCCATCCGCCCGTCCGTGAGTGCGTCTGTTGGTGCGTCCGCATGTTCATCTGTGCATCCGTCCCTGCGTTCATCCATGCATCCGCCCCTGCGTCTGTCCATGCATCCATTCGTCCATCCAGCCATCCATGCGTCCATCCATGCATCTGTCTGTGTGTCTGTTCGTTCATATATTCAACAGTCCAAGTACCCCCATTTCGCATCGTTTCATCATATATTCCTCATATATAAGCACCGCCATCCAGCGGACATTCCAAGGACTAAACGAGAGGTCGCATACGCACACTTTCTTGCGGCTTGCGCTTCGTGTCTACTTCCCACCTTTAACCACCTAGAGTTCATGGTATATACTAGTTCACTGTATTTATGGCACTGCGACCCAACGCTCGCTAAACCTTTTTCAAACCAAGGAGGTTACGCCCAGCGAATATAACGTAGCAACCCTTTCTTGTCAGATAGTGCTCAATGTACATGCAAATGGCTGATAATGGGGAATGAGAGACTGGAGAATTTGGCTTTTAGTAACGCGCACACTGAGAATTTTTTATTGTTCAACAACGCTCAGGAGAAATCTCCCACCGGTACCACCTTGCAGGTCGAAACGTAAGACTGGTTACACACTACAATTACGACTACGACTACTACAAGGGACGAACGGGTGCCGCTTTAAAAAGTTTCACCCCTAGAACGTGGGTTATGATAGTAAATATCACAATATAGACATAGAGGAGAACGTTATCAGCGAGCAGCAAACGATGTTATGAAGGTAGTTGTAGGCAAAATTTTATGTAGCCTACGCTAGGTGTTCCATGATTATTAGATAAAGTAAAAGGGCCTACACGGCTTTCTTTGATCTCAATGTCTTGAATAGAAGTATTGCATGTACGAGGATCAGATGTAAATTTAAGAAGGAATTGACTTCAACCAATCTCTTCGTCAATCAAGAAAAATGCATGGATCATCATTATCAGTACTACATAATATACTACTGATGTGGCATAGCATTAATGGCCAACACGAACAAACATATAAAATAACTAGTGGATGAAATTTGCGGTGAATAGAAAAATAGGCCAGGTTGGAAGTTTAGAAAAAAATACGGGCCATGATTTTGATTGATAATTAAGACACTGAGTGCTGGACACTGGAGATAACCCTGAAGGTAGTTGAAAAACAAAAATATATTTTGGCTTGTGGATAAACAAGGCTGCGTACCTAAGAAAAAACAAAATATACTAGATGACCAGCGATGACGAGAGAGTAAATGCAACGAACAATGACGCAATGTTCAATTAGAAAAGCAGGAGGTGCTGCAAGAATTCGAAAAGATGGTGCTGGTGTCCAATGTAACGTTCGGCTCCGCGGTCTTGCACATGGTATCAGAGCTACAAGCATGGTTGGAAATTAAGCAAAATGATGTAGGTGGACTTGCTTTTGTATCTGAAGAGAATTCGCCAAATTTGGTATTACAAGGTAACATAGATAAACGTCACTCGAAGAGAAAGAAGGTAGCAACAATATAAAAATTCAGCACTGAATGAAAAAAACAAAAAAAGGAGCGGTGGTCCAGGAAAACATTCAGCTACTTTAAAATTAGAAACGCTGATTCAAAACGGTAAAAGCGCACAAGAAGGTTGTCAAAGAGACGCTTCTGCAACCCAGGAGGGCCAAAATAAAAACATAATCAGTTAGGAAAAGGTAAAAGAAACGAGGAGGTGTCTATGGAAATTAAGGATACCTACGAAATCAGCATTGCATGCACACAGAAACTTCAATTCAAATTTTCATTAGAAAAATCTATAATACCACTGCTGGTTGCTCTGTTGTTTGAAGCCAGGAAAGGAGTATTGTGGACCAAGGCATACCGAGTCAAGTGCGATAACAGAAACTCAATTTTAGATGTCTGCGGAGAACTTGACAAAAAGCTGGAAACCTCACACTTCTCTGTAAAAAGCTACACCCTACAGTCAAAGCCAATATGACTGAATTTTTCAAGGTGTTGGATACAGAGACACCGAAGGGAAAATAACTGTTGAGCAGGTTGGAATAATCACGAGGAGGACTATTTATTGTTGGCCGAAATCAAGGCACGATTGAAATTTCGTCTTTCACTACAGAGAGCTAGAAAAATACGAATTACTGTTTAGCAGTGAAATTCGTGACCCGATCAAACGGGCGCAGCCCTATTATCTACTATTTGTCCACCCATCCAATTTTGTTTGGGTGATAAATTACCGAGCAGAGCTCCCATTCATAACTAGAAGTAAGTGGCTATACGTGTCTTCTATGTCATCACACTGGCGATTATTTTCAAGGAAATTGTTACGATACTCAATGACTTATTTGTACTACTGAAGAATGAAGGTTTCCTCACAGCGTGCACTCTGTACTTCAGGGAATTATGTTAAGGGTGTAAAACTTCGGTTTTTTCTAATCAGCCAAATGCTTGTTAAGTCATTGACTTTGCTACTCTGGTTAATAATGTTGGTATAATGGTCAATGAATTCCGTAAATTGCTATTGTTTTCTTTTGAAGAGCCCACGAACGATTCGAGCAACTTAAAGGCACCCTGAAACAGTTTTTCAAGTAACCATTGAATGAATTCAGTGGCAGAGCCTATTGCCTCACAAATTCAACGCCGCAAATATGTTAAGAATTCTTTCAGTGCGAGTGGAGTTACAGAGATTCGTCGCATGCTGCAATCGCATTCATTCTTCTCTCGTCCCGATGAAAGAGCTGGAAGCTAAGCAGGGAGGAATGGAAGGGCCACAGAAAAATGTCACGCGCCTCGTGACCTTGAGCACTTTTAAAGACGATAGTCTTTTCGGGAACCTTCGACGCAAAAGTTTTGGTCTGTATCTCTGTCTGTACATTTGTCTGTTTGTCCGCCGTTACCGGTACCCTAAACGGCACCAGGCGATACCCCGAACGGCCGTCCCCATCTGCAGTGCCCACCAATAATGCTCAAGATTCAGCGTTCACACCTGTGCAATTGTCAATTAAAAAGGAAATAATGCGCATATCGAAGGCCCCATAACAACACGTCAATATTCTGTATATGCGTTTCTTTAACTAGAAAATGCATACATAAGTAATTCCAAGAGCCGTAGCGTTTATCACGCTGCACTGAACATGCAACGCTTGCACGAAAAGGCAAGTGTTTCGAACCCTTTGCTCAGATTACACGGTGGTGGCAACTATCCGTCGCCTTGATGTCTACACCTTATCTCTTCCGAGACGAGCACGCACGCCACGCGCTTCGTTTTCCAAGATAACTGCCAGATAGCGCTTGTGTCTCACGTGTGACGTAACTTGATGCGCTCGTTCAGGAAATGTTTTGTATGACTTAGCACAGAAGAGTATTTGCAATTATTTTTTGAATAGTGAATGAATACTGAGTTGCGCACGTTATTTATTACCGAGCAGAATTGTTATGGGAAATTCGTTTTTATTACTTCTCTTCGATGCGATTTTCTGCATAGTAGTCTGCGTCCGCCCTACACACTACGCAGGCAGCATCTGCTACCGAGCCCAATCATTGCAAACACCGATTGCTGGCGCTGCACAACAGTTCACTGGCCACTCCTTATATACAGGCACTCAATCTTGATCTACAAGGTAGCACTGTTGGGACATTTCTCCTGTGCCTTGTTGAAAAATAAATATTCGCAGCGTGAGCATTAACTAAAAGCAGACTGCGGGTATCTGTGTCCAATCGGAATCTTCTGTCTCTCACTACTCATTAGCCGTGATTGACATGTTCCAGTAGGAAACACCTGTCCATCGCTGCGTGATTTGAGCCTCCCCAGAGTTCCTTCCTGCATGACGCTGCTATGAGTGCGAGCTTCAACGTCGCCGACAGTGTTAGCGCTGGCGCCCACTGCTTCACATCTACACATAGTTCTCTTCAGTGGAAGATGAAGAAATATTTTTGTTGATGCCTTCTTTGTCTAAATCGTTTCCGGGCTTTTAAAAAATAGAATCAATATTTTCAATCGTGCAAACTTACAAGGTGGAACAATAGCAAAAATTACTTTCTTGCGCACCTTCCTAACATTAAACAACCTTCTTTCAGCTGGTACTGCAATAAATACTCTATTTTTATTTTAAATCGAGTAATTGCTTATTCAAAACAATGGTGTTATCATCAATAAATGATGTTGCAACAAAAACTGTAATAATTGACGGTCATAACAATATCGCGGGAAACAGCTTACGCTGACTCAATGAAGTGTGTTTTTGTTACTGCTTTCCTTGCTGATTAGTAAACACATAATGATTTCAAGTCTCCATGCAACCGATAAATCTGACAGTAAGTTTGTAAATGAAATAATATCTAATAAACCGAAAAGAAATTTAAGAAAACTCTGCTCCATACTTGTGCTGAAATACTTCATTGGTATTTTATGCAATTGTTTCAAATAAATACAATATTGTTCACTGATTTTCAGGCCCAACACTGCCCGAATGCCGTTGGCTACTGTTGTTATGGTGTGTGCCTGTGTGCTCTTTCGGAGATCATCTTTTGTCCTAGGCTCCAGAAACCACACTATCTTATAGGTGGTCGCTGAAACGCTGCAGAGGCATGCCAGTATTGGCATAATGCATCATGTACGCTGGCAACTTAAAAGCGTGTTATTCGGAAGGAACAATAAAAAACTATTTTCAATTATATTCGTTTTTGTGTGTTTTTTGTAAAACATCCTTCACGAAATGACTCTTTGACTACAATGTATTGCACCATGTGCGGTATCCTAAATTCTACAAGTTTACATTCTGATTGACACAGCTCTAAACTTGGCAGGTGATGGCGAGTGTGCTGCACACTTGATGGTGATTGTAAGCGAAATACGCTTACACCATTCAGAACGTCGAGTATATGCAACGGCCCGAATGATTGTGACAATTGCAAATAATGAATGCCCGCAAGACGTTTAACGCCGATATTTTGCGGAGAATTAATATATATTTACTTCGTAGATCCAATGGCTCTGAATAATTTGTCCCATTAAAGCCAAGTACCTAAATATAGATATGAGGTAATCGTTCCTAAATGAATTCTTGTTAATATGCTTGATTCTCAGTGTTTGTTTTCACGAAGACAGGAATGATTGAAGTTACCCTTGAGAATTGCATAAGCTGATGCAATGTCCCTGAAAAAGCGGCAAGTTTTTGCTTTGTTGAAACGGTGCTTTACAAGGCAAGGAACAAAGAAAAAAAACTTAAGGCAGCTCTACGCCAGAGTCGCACACCAAGCCCCAAGTATGGGTGAAGCTGGGTGGCCTTTGTTGTTTCTCTTCACTTTTCTTTTCTTTCGCCCCTCTTTTTCTCTTCCTCTTTCCCGCCCTTCCTGGAATTTAACAGTTTATTTCTATTGCTTTCTTCCTGGCTGTTTACCCATTTTGATTAGTTTATTGCGTTTTCTATTTCAAGTGCGGATAACTCTAGAGACCTGGTTAGTGTTTCATTCATCTATGCATCTTGTGTGGTGTGATCAAGCTCACAGTAAAGCGCTCAATAATGACCACAATAATATAAGCAATCTCGAAACGAGTTTAAAATGAATGAAGCATGCTCTTATACACGAATGAAACAAACACTCTTAACGTCCTAATTTTATGTATTTAAAATGAAAATTAAAAGCTGGTCCATGTTTAGGGAGTGATTCGGTCCCTTCTTTAGACTGTGGAAGAAGGTTTGAACTTCTTGGTATACCAAAACCCAACGCACAGTGGGTAATATCTACATTTCTGCTCGAGCCACCTCCCCTTCCACAAGGCATCGATTGTCAAGACGCCCTTGAACCACGCAGCAGCGATGTGAGAACTCTGAAGGAAAACGAACAGACATGAAAAAGTGCTCACTAAGGACCCACGGCCACGCGAATGGGTTCATTCGCCGGTTTTGTCATTGACGTGATCACCGCGAAAGTGGCCCCCGCATGCCTTCGTCTGTAAACAGTCGTACTAGCAATGACACACCCCTCCAAAAACCTAACCTCGTGTCGGTTATATGAATTCCGGAAGTCGGTGAGAAACTGGCGAGGGTTTTAGGGAAGGAGGGCATCCGGGTGACGCATGAGCCCGCATCGACTATTTAGCGTCTTTTTTCGCGGCCAAAACACCGATTGCCAAAAGAAAGATTCCCAGGACTGGTCTACGAGGCTCCATGCACTAATTTCTACGCCGCTTACATCGGCGAGACATTGAAAAAAAACTTTCCGGAAAGGATACGGCTACATTACAACGACGTACGAGCTTGAACGCTGCACGTGCTGACAAGACGTTCTCTCGTCATGCCTTTCTCTTTTTCTTTATCTTCTCCCTTTTTCCTATCCCCTTTACTTCCCCCTTCCCCCATTTTTAAAGGCGCTGAGCCGCGCCCCCGCGACGGGAGGCAGAAAATAGCGTTCTTTTTGTCTATTTCTCAATCAATAACCTCTCTCTCTCTCTCTGCTCTAAACGATCTCTCGGAACACAACAAAAAGATGTGTTATCGCATGAACTTGGACGCCGCTTGGGTCCTCACCACTCTAGGTAGTTGGACAAAAAAGGAACTCTCGAAGCCTTGGCATACTAAAACAACGTTTCGAAACATCAACTGTTCAAATGACACCCTACCAAGTGCACGTAATCGTGGTTCGCGGAACCAGTGGAGGAAACAGCGTGGCAACAATGACGGCGAAAAAAAAAAACGACGATAGAGAGAGGGCACTAGTCGCTAGTTTTAGAGCCGACCGGACACTCACCCACTAAGAAAGGACTGAATGGGTCCCAAAACGTAGGTGCAGTTTTTGATTTGAATATTAAAAAATAAGACAAATGTGACTGGAGCGCTTTTTTATTTGTGTGGTTTTTATCCAGCAAGGTGCATCTCTATAATTTACGATTGCGTTTAAATAATATATTTAACAGAAACTACTGACAGGTAATCGCAATAATTAATATCGCTAAAAGTGTTCCGGATATACGCAACTGACTCATTGGCCGCACAACAGTGGGTGCCACGGCCTCTCCGAGAGAGCGAATGTCTTTCCCTCCACCACAACAGTGTTTTTATGGCTTGTTCTGGTTTGTAGCGTTGTCAACAACAGAACACACTGATGTGTTCTGATGGGAGCACAGGCCTGGTGTGCTGTGTCCTGGTGGGAAAACCGTCACAGTGTGGTGTGTTCTAGTGAGACGTGTTCTGGCTTCTGGGGGGATGTGTTCTGGTGGGAAAACAGACACTGTATGGCGTGTCCTGGTGCGAACACAAACCCAGTGTTTTTTGTTGTGGTGGGATGTGTTCTGAAGGGAAAAGAGACACTGCGTGGTGTGTGTTGGCGGGAACACAAACAGTGTTTCGTGTTCTGGTGGGATGTATTTTGAAGGGAAAACAGACAGTGTGTGGTGTGTCCTGGGGAGAACACTGACCCAGTGCCGTGTGTTCTGGTGGGAAGACCAAACTGTTGTGGTGTGTGGTGGGATTTTCTTTTGTGGGACGTGTGCTGGTGTGCTCAAAAAATAGATTTCGTGCGTGGGTCCTGATTGGACAAAAAGGTTATTCTACCAATTGCACTCAGTCTCTGACTACATGATATTTTCTTCAACCAGACGCACTTGGACTCAAAGTGCAAGGCCCTACACATGGCTACATAAAATAGAGGAAACAAAAAACGAACATCAGTGTAGACGACGTGTGTTTAGAAAAAGTGTTTAACAATTTACAGTACCTGGTGCTCTGTATACTATGAGAGAGCAGAAAGCCGTCCCAAAGTGTGCTTAGGCGCCTCGCAGATCTTGATTTCAGTAACAACTAATAATATCGTAGCACCTAAAAACTGAGACACGGGAGAAGAGAAGGGGAAAAAGGGGAGCGCTAACTTCCAACAAAATTTTATTTTGTAGAGCGTACATATGTATACTCACAAAAATGCAAAAAACAGACAAATCATAATTGAATCTCACAAAGGCTCAATGAAGCGCGGCGAAAAACCTTGAAAGTCTGTGTAAACATGCAGTTCACCCTGCATATTTACACAGGTGTCGATGACGTTTCGGTAAATGCAGAAGTGGGGAACTCTATGAACGCCAATAGCTGCATATGCGTGCTCAGCACTTTCTATTGAATTGAATCGAGTTTTTAAACGACAAGGTCCCGAAGATGACCAGGAAGAAAGTTTCATTGAGCAGCTTGAGTGGAGCCCGGCCACCTCATACAATGGCCAGCTTCACAGCGTTCAAGCAAAATAACACGGTACGCATAATTCATTAACTAAATGAAAAATGAGCAAGAACGGTGAGAATTATTTGTTGTGGACAATGGGGTTCAACTGCTGAAAAACTTTGCTCAGGCTTCACAGTAATAAAGCCGTTTTACGTTTTTTTTTTCCAGATTTTCACTTTCTGTTTCATATTTTGCGCTTGCTTCTTCCGTTTTTTTCTCTCTCTCTTTCTGTACGCCGTATTACCGGGGTCAGGCCAAGCACATCATTCATTCCTATTTTTTTTTTTGCTGCTGATAAGTCATCATCATCAAATCGCTTGAAAAGCCAGAGGAAGAAGACTTCTGCTTGGAGCACACGCGAGCCCTATATGCTACAAACGAGAACATTACGCCAGCCGACGACGACACCATACTAACGCATACGGCAGCATTCGACAGCCCAACCCCCTTAAGTGCTCCGAACTAAATTGCGCAGGATATATACACAATCTGTGTGCTCTTCAACGCGAAACGCGCAGTTTCAATGATAAGAACTTCAGTGAACTCGCCCAACTTTGCCTCTGGGTACAGGCGATAGCCGCGCTCAGTGACTCACTGTATTGCCAATATCAGGGCTAACAGTGGGGATGGCAATGCTTTCTCTTTTAATTCATCCTAGTCACTTCCTTAGTGAAGTACCGCTGAGGTGTCGCACTTTGCTGCAGACAGTTGCGAAGTTTAGTTTCCTCTCAATTTCTCTCGTTTAAAAAATCCCATGCCCCCCCCCCCCCCCTAGGTGGGCACAGCCAGACCGGCAGTTTATCCACCCAAATGGCTCTTTCGATGGAGTACGTATTTCATATATTACGCGCCATTTGTCACTCGGGCATCCAGATCTAGCGCTGCAAGTGTCTTCGCCATAACGAACAGTGCACTCGTAAGCGATGCTTTTTCCCGCGAACGCAGTAAACAAGGTATTGTTTCCGTAAGGTGGTTGGGTGATCCTCAGCGTCATTATTTAGGTTTTCTGGCAGATGTATCGCAACCGGGAAGTTTTACTTAGAACTCTAACACTACGAACAGTTCGCTATTGACTTTGAATGGCGGAGCTCCTTAGGGCTCTACTTTCGCCAGACCTCCGTCACGCTGCTGAACACCGAAACAAAAACGGAACACCTGCACAACAAAAAATGGTATAAAAACAACCTTATGCGTACCTCAGTCCAGTGTATGAAAGAACAATACATGATCACCCATGCCGTCCGTCCGTCCATGCATCATTCAGTCGAAGCGTCTATGCGTCCTTTCTACTGTCCATCCATCCGTTCATTTCTTCATGCGTACGTGCGTCTGTCTATTCGTTCATCCGTCCTCGTGTATGTCCATCGATCCGTCAGTCCATCCTCTATACTAGTCGACGACTTCAACGTAGACAATATGGACCTCGGGGCTTACCTTCGCCCACTCGCCATCGTTGACTTCGAGGAGATGCATGGGTGTTTTTAGTGCGAGCATTATTGATTTTGACTGCATGAAATCGGGAAATAAAGGTCCAACCGAGCTTAAATTGAAGAACAGCGCCGACCTAAAAAATTGTGCCTCATCTTCATCAATATTAGCACCATCTGCGTGATATAATAAATTCATGCGTCTTTAATGTTAACTACTTAGATTAGGCAAAAAAATTTATTCTACAGTCATTTGACAACCACCTGAATACGTTGAAAACCAGCGTTTTTCACTCCAGTTAGCAATCGAATACTGGAAGCGGTGGGCACATTTGTGATGGAGGCAAAAATACTTGAGGCCCGTGTGCTTAGATTTAGGGGCATGTTAAACAAGTCCAGGTAGTCAAAATTTGCAGAGCCTTCCACTACAGCGTGTCTCCTATTATCATGATGCTTGTGGGATGTAAACCCCAACTATTATTAATAATAATAATAATAATAATAATAATAATATATTATTATTATTATATTATTATTATTATTATTATTATTATTATTATTATTATATTGGTAACAAAATATGAATATGCAATTAGGAGAGAGAGAGAATGGCCGAGCCCGGTTGGCTACCCTGCACTAGGGAGAGGGTTGAAGCAATAAAAGTAAAAAAGATATAAAGAGATAAAAGTCACTGTTGCCACCGACGTAGCGGCCGTTCTGCGCCTGAAATCACAGATTGTGAGTCATTATTTGATCAGCGCATTCATTCCGTTACGCAACATGTGTGCGCGGTTTCCTGCAAACAAAATCTTGTCGATCATGAAGCCATAGTGGTGTCGCTTGCGTTCTCATGCAAAAGAGTTCTGAAGGGTTGCGATAACTGGAGTGATGGTGTCCAGCATTCGCGGCACTCTTCGAGCTGTCGGTGTCTACATCTTGCTCAGAAGCAAGCGAACACCACTGGCAAGGTGCTTACCATGCCGACAACTTGTCTGTCTTCGTCCGTCGGTTACGAAGTACTGATGAGGTGTCTCTAATTGTCGGAGTTCAATGTCGCCCATCAGGTGCATGCAGCTTTGGGGGGATAATGTTCTGAAAGGTCCGATGAATCTGCTTTCACGCCCGGTTAGACCTTTAGGTGGTGACATCTGAAGCGATAAACAAGCATGGCAAATTTTCGTCGATAATAACCACTCTTGATATTTGAGATTTCACTTCTCAGAACTACAATATGATTATGAGAGCCATAGTGGAAGAGTCCCGAAATTTTGTCCATACCGTGTTTTTTAACGTGCACTGACGTGACGCAGTATACACGGCTCTGCCATGTGTACTGTGTCAGCTGTGATCGAACATGCGACTTGCGCATCAGTAGCGAAGTAGCGGGACCACTGACGTACTACGACAGAAACAAACTACCACTGTTCGCACATAGCTGCAAATAATTCACTGAACTACGGGCCAGGTATTGTATTCAATAAAAAAAAAGCAAGCATCGCTCTGGATGTTCAAGCTAGATATTTGGCTTCCTGGTAGTCGCCCTTTGAAGGAGCAATACGATGACAGCAAAACATGTGTGGAATCGTGCCGAGAAATAGGACACGTCCCAGTAGTGTCGAAACAACCGAAAAAATAAAGGAATAAAAATATGCATAAAGTTTTTTTTTCTATGCGTCCAAAAGCACAAGATGTTTTTAGGTGAACAATACATATCACTTTCCTGAAGATGTAGCCTAGAAAAAGAGCGTTACAAGTGTAATTTTATTGAGAAGTATGCGATTTCGGTGGGCCGAATGGGCAAATTTTTCTTCGTAAGCGAGTATATTCCAGATGGTCAAATGGCTTCGCTAAGAATATGTCCCATATTTGGGTTGTCCAAAGTATTTTCTGCTGATAATTTTTAGCTTAACGTGTTTTTTTCGTAAATACCAGCCTCTATGCGTTACTGTGGATTGGAATTTTCAGCCTCACCAGAAATATCCTATATAAGATAGCTGCTACTCGAGTGGCTCAAATAAGTGGTCTTTATTCACCGCTTAAGATCGTAGTAGTGTGATCGTTTGAATTCCTATTACAATAACTGAAGGATGTTGAAGCTAAATGAGGAATAAAATCATGGTATTGAGCTGCCTGGGAGCGACACACTCTCTTTTCATTGAGTGATGCACTTATATTGTTTTAAGCTATATCTGTCTGCAAGCCAAATATAGGCTGTTGAAACGTCTTGAGGCGTTGTGCGCCCGACTACAATGGGATGACAGTCGACGCCAGTTACGTGCCAGCACGTGTTTTGAATACTGCATTATTTAGAGAAGTGGAAAGAAATCACGTACCTCAACGCTGTCACTCCATCTCATTTCTGAAAATAAAGGTCCACACAGACTTTCCTCTCTCTTGTCTTTTCAATCAAGTCAACGCTTTTCTTACTGTTAGCTTTTCTGTAGATGGTCCGTTTCGTCAAAGCATGAATATAAAATATCCGCGGCTCGATATGGTCGCCCCTTTCTAATTCTTTTTACCAGCTGTCAGGTGCTTCATACCTTATGCGTTGCCAGATTTAGAACTGGGCTTTCATTATTTTTGCCAGACCTTTAGTGACAGAAGCATATCTGCGAAATCTTACTATTTGAGAGGAAAGTGATGGCTAAAAATGCATTGCGTTAAAATATAAGAGTTAATAATAAAGGAAACTCATATGCCAGTTCGTTCTCGCGTCAAATCTCGGCATAGGGCACATTGAATGGGGACAGTTCTATACTCCATTGTAGGACTGTGTTCCTTTGGGATGGCAAACTATGTTAGTTAAATATAAGCAGTGTACTGTCAACAAACATGATGACTTCGCTTTTTGAACATCCAAGAAGTCAGCTAACATTTCTTCCCGCTTTTCTTTTGCTAGTTTGTTTGGCACCTTATTTTAAAAAGTAAGGCACTAGTCGGAGCGTGAGAGGCCGGTCAAAATGGGCTTCCATAGAACTGTTGGGCTGATCGCCTGCGGTAAGTGATAGGCGTGAATCAACTCACGTCTTGTACCCTGTCAATCGTTGTTCCCTACAGCCTTGTTCTCTCGCGCTATCTCGTGGGTTTTCCCAAAATCACACTTTATATGCGAAAAAATTTAATATCGAACCAACAGAATACTGAGCATTTCTACTTTTCTGTGTATGTATCTGTCTTTGGCCCCGTACGTTGCGACCCCCATAATCGTCTCTTTTACTTGGTGTATATCAAAATCGGCACAGAAATATGTGAGTATACAACACACATGGCGCAGCGGCCATCGGTTGAATAACATGACATGCTAAATTCGTTTAGGGGCCATCAAAAAAAAAACGCGGACAGTGGGGCTCTCATGTTCTGCTGTGTGGCATTTACTTTCAAGAGGTTTAAGCCTAGATAGTTATAAAAGCCAGCACAAGTCGTCCATGATAGTAGAAGACGACGCTTGTATTGTTTTATAGCCCCCAAGGTCACTTCTTGATGAAAACTGCATGTCGCATTGTTCGCGTTTCTTCCGATCCCCCATTTTACGTCATGAAACCGACTCCCAGGGTGACATGCGGCTCATAGTCGCCTACTACGACCCGTGGACGGTGGAATGTGAGCGTTAGCCACAGGTGGTTCTGATTCTATATTCACCGAGCACCCTGATAGCTGGCGTTAAGAATTTAACACTTTTTTGATGAATAAGAGAAAGGCATACCATTCGTAACATTTGGCAATTTCGATGTAGCCAACAAACACTTACACATGTACATTATGACTCACGAATCTATATGCCGTTGTTGCTCATCCCCGCGAGAACACGCCAAGGAAGATACTTACACTTCATTTTGAGGAAAGTAACGTCGGTGCGGAGACGTCAGTGGCGGCATTACGTCGAAGAGTGTGCCAATGTTTCGATGCCAGCGGGCTAGCGTTTCCAGTACGCTCATGATATGGACACTACTTCATATTTTACTAATCGACGTCCATCCTTCTCATCAGACTTAGCTGGAAGGGTGTCACATATGGAACGACTCACCGATTGCAAAGAATGGTTTTTGTTTTAGGAGTGCGCGATATTTGCCCTAATTTCTGCAACATAGCCAGCCGACATTACTCACACTTTTTTTACTGCGGCCTGGAAAGTCATGTCCTGTAGAATTACCAAGGTGGCCTTTATCAAGAGCTACAATTATGTACGTGTTCATAACAGCAAGCTCAAACGAAATTAGTTAAACAAAATTTATATCGCACCGCCATGGACCAATGGTATAAAAACAAATGCTTTGGTAACATTATCTATTATTCTCCACGGGAACACACTTGGCGAGCTATATACTTATCGTAGCAAAAGTACATAAATATTGTTAACGCAACAGCGTTCTTGTGAAGCAACAAAAATGCTGGCCTCGGCCTCATTGATTGTGAGAGAAAAATTTTAGCCCTGTCCACGACCAACAAAATGAGAAAGGTACAAATAAATATATAATAAAAATCTTCAGTTTAAGGGAGGATCAAGCCTATGCCATAGTCTGCGTGGCAATGAAATGTCCTAACAGAGAGCTACGTTATTACTTGACAACATCTCAAAAACGTAGAGCACGATATGAATGTCACGTAGTAGCAGAAGTCTCCTGACGCACGTAATAATGCGTGACAGAAACGTAAAAGAGTACCAGAAGGAAGAAAAGTCTAAATTTAAGGGCTCGTTGTTTTGTTAGACACAACATTTCGGAGAACTAACGAACATTAATTCTCGAGAAAGTATAAGGAGTGTTATTTGAAGTAATTGTAATGTAACTCTGCAGAAAGAAAAACGAACGAGAAGATGACTTTCCACCGGCAGGATAAAGTAAAATGTTTTGTTGCCAATTACGGCATTCCTTTGGGTATACCCCCTCTGTTGTACTAAAGAGGAGCTTTACATACATCCGTTTTTCCCGATAGCACTGAACTTTTGTGGGCCCTGTTTATGCGATTTACGTGACTTCATAAGACGGAAGCTTTCACTTCACGGCTTCGTTGTCACTCAAGTTTAAGAATGTTTTAAGAGTGGAAATAAAGGACGACGCAGCGAGCAATGGAAAGAAAAATGGTAGGTGTAACCTTAAGAAACAAGAAGAGAGCAGAATGGATTAGGGGACAAACGGGGGTTAAGGATATCATTGTTGAAATAAAGAAGAGGAAATGGACATGGGCCGGACATGTAGCGCGTAGACAGGATAACCGCTCGTCTTTAAGGGTAACTAAGTGGATTCCCAGAGAAGGGAAGTGGGTCAGCAGGAGACAGAAGGCTAGGTGGGCAGATGAGATTAAGAAGTTTGCGGGTATAAATTGGCAGCAGCAAGCACAGGACCGGGTAAACTGGCGGAACATGGGAGAGGCCTTTGTCCTGCAGTGGACGTAGTCAGGCTGATGACGATGATGATGATGATGATGCCTTTGTCCTGCAGTGGACGTAGTCAGGCTGATGATGATGATGATGATGATGATGAAGAGTGGAACTGTAGAGTCTAGGCATAATTTGCTGGTACAATATAGAAATTATTGTCATTGACTGGCTCGCACTTTCTACCTTCTCTTCTTCATCATCGCCTGCGTTCGTCTTCTGCTGCACTCCACTCGCGTCAGTTTCTTGTGTGTGGAAGAAATAGCCTGATGGGCGACAGAATGAGCACAGAGAGAGTAAAAGAGTAAGAAGAACTATAGAGAAAGAGAGAAATAGAAACAGCCTATCTGCATCATGCTTCCCCACTAGTTCAGACAATCCTCGAAAGGTGAAAATTTTGCTATGCTCCTCTCACACATGCTGTCAGTCATTCGTTTGCACGTTCTCAGGCAACTGAAGCGAACTTCGAGATAAACCACGTTTATTGCTCATCATTCTAATTATGATAACGTTTTAAATTCAAGTGTGCTCCTGTACAACTAACCGATTATACGATTACGTTTTTTCTTCACAAACTTTCCAGTTCTTGTTTGGTTAGTTGGGACATTAAAGAAATACTTTTTTGATTATGTAATTATGCTATTTCCCAAAATGTCTGATATTAGCTTTTTTAGGCGGGACTTGTACTGTTGTGTTTTAGCTAAAGTCATATTTACAGAACGACGCCTGCATAATATTTTTTAAATATACTCCTCCCTTCTATAGTGCCTCTGGGCTGGATGGTTCATTCCACCACGAAAACCGCCATTATATCTACAAAGTGGATGATGGTGAAGAAGCTTGCTCGAAGGTGCACGGGGCGCTTTTTGGCGAGACCATTTTTTGTGAGAAGGCCGGTGCATGATGTGTACGCTGAAGGCAGCGTTGTCGGGCACATTTCGCGGCTGCCATTGCACACTGTTGGCCACGTGGATGGGCCCGTTAACCACCGGCTCCTTCATACCATACTGGCTGCTGCTGTGGGTCTAATGCCTAACTCTCGTAAGCAGAAGACGTGGAGCTGCAGGCGTTTTTCAACGGGGTTGAGAACAGGCACGTGGGGGGACTTGGGAGGATGTCGATACCCACGGGCAACACAAATAGTAGGAGTTTGTCACCTGCTGCCGATCCTACGGAGCAACAAAAACAAAGTGGATGTAGTCGCGAAGAGGCGAGCTCGTGTGCCGTGGAAAATCGATTCTTTGGGTGGCGACACACGCACCATCTAGTCAGCATTGTTCAAATCATTGAAGAGGCGATCGGAGCGGTGACCTTTAGTGGCGACCGGAGAAGTGCTGGAAAATGGAAACACTGGTGTACCGCGCGCGGGCGCTGGACAGGGCGCCAGCTCAAGGAGCATTCCTAAAGTAAACAAATAAATAAAGCAGAAAAACTTTCGCGAGAAAGTTGCATTTTTAGGTGGTATTAAAATCCGTGTTGCCAAGGTCTATAAGAGAGCATTTACTTATCCGCTAGCCAAAACGCTACCAGAGTATATCATAGCTTAGTATAGTATGGTATGGGAAGGAGGTGGGAAGAGATGTTGACGAGGAAAAATTTGAGAGCAAGAGAGAGTAAAATGGTAAAACACAGCTTAAAAAGAACGAGAAAAAGAGAAATATGTGAAATAAGGGTGAAAAAAAAAAGAGAAATATGTATGAGTAAACAATGGGCAGGAGATCAAGAAAGTGGGGAAAAAACAGAAAAGGAAGAAAGGGAACGGCATAAAGACAGGCAAATAATAGTGACAAACGAAAAGAGCGTGAAGAAAGCAAGTGACAACGAGGAGAAATGAGGTGAGAGTGAAGACGAGGAAAAGAAGGAAGGGAGAGTGTCAAGCATAGTGTACAAATAGTGAGCATGAGAGGAATTGAGGAGAAAAGCAAATCTGGAGAGAGCACAAAACATTGACAGAAAAGGAATCAAAGACACAAAGAAAAAGGGATAAATAGAGAACGAAAAAGATGAAAACAAAGATAGGCAAGCTAGAAACAGGAAGAGGGAAAGAAAGAGAAATTTACAAAGAAACATTGTGAGTAATAAAGAGAAATAAATAAATAGAGAAAGAAATGTATAAATGAAAATAGCAAAAAAAGACGCAACACTGGAAACGAGAAAAAGATGTTGGTGCAGCAAAGAAAAAAAACTAGAAAGTAAGAAAAAAGTAGGCTGCCCAGCCTCACACTTCTTTCAAGCTTGGCTAAAGTGGTGCAAAGCTGTGCTAATTTTTATACAACGTGTAAACTAACAGTTTTTGATTTTGTTGAAAAATCTCGTGTGTGGGTATGAAGTCATGTGACTCATATTCGAACATTTCAAGGCTAGAGCAAATATAGCTGTTCGAACTGGGTTGCGACAACCAATAACCACTATTGTAGTCACTATTTAGGCCAGCCTGCTAGTTTAAAACTTGAAAAAAAATCTTGTATTTTTCTGAACTATCCGCATTGCTTCATTTCAAAATGAGAAACTATGCAGCTGTTTCGTGGAAATAAACATGCTAACAATTTCTATATATTTTGTTACCCCGTAAGTTAGATGCGTTTGCTGAAAAACGAGCCACTTTAACATTTGGCACACCCACAAAGGAAGAGTTGTATCAAATTGTAGTTACTAAACTCATGCGCTTTTCTATCCATTTCAGCGATAGTGTTCGTAGTTATAGCAGACATCGCCTATGGACAAAAGGTAAGCTTACCGCTACCTCACTGAAGGTTATTGCGCAAACAAGCACATATACTTTTCTTATCGTAAGGAAGAGCCTCTGTTCTGTATTAAGAATATAGTGACAATCTCCCGTACCACGCTGCTCTCGCGTGTTGTCGCTTTTTTTGTTTCCCAATTTTGATTACTCTTTCGTGGATGCATACGCAGCGCTGTTAAATCTCAAATAGATTGCGTTGTACTCATGTGTTCGATTCGAGCGTTGCGAAAAACACACTTGTCAATGCGAAAAAAAAAATACGGCAGATGGCACTCATCATGGCAGTAGATGTCATTTGAATCAGTAGGCAATCGGCAGCCTAGATGGCACTTTTTTATTGCTTGAAGTTGAGCGTCACGAGTTGGAGCAACTACTTTGTGCATCTCTATTAGTTATGCGTTTGACGCGGGCAGACCCGAAACAAGCGATATTTTTCAAACGGGGAGGAACCACTTGTTGAGGGTCTTTACTCATATTAGAGCAAAAATATCAGTTATATGAAAAATTAGGTGCACTTTACTGTGCGATGATGTGCATACAATAAGAAACGGGTTCTGTCGTATTTCCCAGGGTAGGGAAATTGGGAAGTTTCATAATTTAATATGCGAGTTTGCTTACAATGTAAGAAAGCTGGTAGTCAACGCTACCGCCATATATAGTTGACATGGCCGCGATACTAGGCCCCTATAGGATCTTTTCTGTAAGCAGTATGAAGCACTACCTTGCGTACAAACTGTCAATTACCTGTGGCTCATCCACTAATATTAGGCCATTTTGGACATTTAGTACGTTTTTCAGATCTAGTAATTTTTGACATTTCACATGTTTTTTTCTACTAGAATATGTGATTGATTGTGCTGAAGTTTTCCCAGATAATACCTTAATCCCTTTCAAACAGTTTGGACCTACAAGTTTGAGAACTGTGCGATATATACATTAGGAAAAAAAACTAAACTATTATTTCGAAAGTCTCTTTTTTCACACATGAAATAGGAGAACAAATTTGTTTTTTATGGCACAATTCTAGAAAATAATTTTTGCAGCTAGGAATTGATACTACTAACATTAAAATCAGCACGCCAGTTTTTAAGGTCATGTTAGTTCTTGATTTGTGAGAAAAAGTAGGCGACATTTTACTCAGTTTCGTTCTCGTTCGAATTGCAAATAGCGAAAAATGCTACAGAGGTCAGACCACAGAAAGCCATGGCGAGAAGTTTTGTTCTTGAGTTTACAAAGTTTCATAATAAAATATGGAACAGTGCCTGAGATATAAATCTCAAATCAAGATAACCCAATTATAATACCACACCTCCTCAAGCATTCATCGAACCAATCAGGTTTTATGCATTTGGGCTACATGCTTGATCATTGTTTATGCACTGAAAAACTCACATAGCAACGTGAGATCAGTTCATTACGTATACGCTAGTCTTACGAGACAACACAGAACGTGCGTGCCAATGCATGGCGCAGCAGAGCAGGAGACAACTCACATAAAATAACTTTGGGATATGTGTAAAAGAGACCTAATTAATCTAAGACTTCCCATGAACATTCTAATGTCATCATGATTTGCTCCATAAAGACAGGAAATGCAGGTAAATAACAGCATGTTCGTTCTTCGCATTTGCGTAGGTCGTTCAAAGGTTGTTTGAGGCTCTTGTAGTGCTATTTATGACGCTGTATATGAGCGAGATATTGCCAAATATTCCATTGATTTGTTGTGGGAGGCTGGAGTAGGTATTGCTGCAAAAAAGAAAACTGGTAATGTAGTCATCTGGGCACTACCGTGTTCGACGGCAATGTTGTTAATAGAACACCACGTTCTGTTAACATGGTGTTGCGAAAGGCAGAACAAAGAGTGCAGAACCATCTCAGTGTCTCTTGCCCTGCTACGATCTGCCCCTCTTATATATATAGAATACCAAGTGAAAACCATTAAATTCCTTCCGGACACAAGGACTACCAATCAGGTTTATAGGCATTGCGTGAGTCACCCAATCCAGGCGCGATCCAGCAGGTGTTGTTCCACAGAAGCACGCGTATGACTAATCGTAGGAAAACGTCTTGGTTTCTTTGCATGCGAACAAGGCTGACGGACGAAGCAAGCCACCGTCAACAACGAAACCACCGAAACCACCGAATGTACCTACCAAAGCAACCAAGCCAACGAAACCAGCCAGTGTACCCACACTTTCGACGAGACCAACAAAACCCGCCAAGCCACTGAAGAACTTATTCCCACGGAACCCACCGAAGGTACCTACCAAAGCAACCAAGCCAACAAAACCAGCCATTGTACCCACACTATCAACGAGACCAACAAAACCTGCCAAGCCACCGAACAACTTATTCCCACGGCCTCCCGGCCCCGTGCCTCCGTTTCCTCCTGTACCAGTGGTGCCAATGCCGAAGGGGCCTTGGAAAGGAATCTACATTGTCTACCCACCTATCGACCTTCGTCTGGCTCCTGTAAGTTTTTAACGGCACTTGCGGTATAATCTAAGATGAAGTAATCATTTTCTGTTTCTCTTTTTGGCCAATGCTGCATCGTCATCTGCACCCCTCAATATCATACTGCGATTTTGGGACGTAAAACCGAAGTTATTATCAATAGTATATATAGCCGTCCCGTTAACTATCTTATGAGAGCTTTGCAAGGTTTCACTCACCGAGACGATAGTAGGGTGCGTTTAACAATGAAGTGAGTTGTATATGTGCTAAGTAAGGGAATTATTGGAATTATGTCAGAGAGCAACACTGCAGATAAAGCATTTTTAAGATAAATTCAGGAAAAAATATGTTACTGCCAATGCGTGGCGCCGGGTACTCCTCTTAACTTGCACAAGAGTTGTAGTCGCAAAATAGAAAAGAAGCGTAAATGTATACAAAAGCTCAGGGTACAAAACTCAAGCATTTAGTTCAAGTTCTCCAATACGAAATTCTATCTTCACAAGCATTGATAGAACACTAGCCTTTATGCGGTGGATTTGTCCACACAAATTATAAAAGTTCTCGAAAATCTTGTCGCATTCACTCAGGTATCTTGAGAATCGGCTCCTAAATGCTGCAGGACAACTGCAAGAATTAGGCTTTCACGAAAAATTCCATCATAAAATGAAAACACGAAATAGCGTAGCAAAGCATACTGGTGGATATCTACGCAATTTTTTTTCATTCCCATTTAGTACTTACGTGATGTACCACAACCTGCCTGCGTGTGCCACAGAAATTTGTAAATTTTTTTCGTTGTGTGCCCACAAGTGTTTGTATTGATGGAGGCCAATTATTAATAAAAATTAGTTTCTCTAAATGTTTTTTCAAGGGCCATCATAACTTTCTGTGTAAACAAAAAAACCGTGTTCCTTTTTTTTGGAGTGTAGCCGTTCGGTTTAAAATAGCAGAGCTGGACTCTACAAAATTCGGTATAAGGCATTGTGAAACACGAATTTATATTCTATATTGCCTAAACTGATGAAAGAGGTGTAACTGGCCACCCACTTTAGGACCAAGTATGCGAAACCTTTATCCACATTATGGGGTGCCGCCGAAGTAATCTGCCACATTTAGTGCCCATCTGATTGAAGTCCTACATTAATTAGACCTAAAACTGATGATTGTCTATGCTGAAGTGCCAGCTTCTTGCACAGCTCATTTGGTGGAGCGACCGCATGGACAAAGAGTTGGTGCTGGGTTGTTATCCCTGACTAGGAAGAATTTTTTGCCAGCTGAGGCACATTTGTTACTTCAAAAACTTATGACATATTCATGGATTTCATGATAATGAGCCCGCGAAGCAGCCCGATTGCTCGGTGTTACCGTAAGTCAACTGTGTACCAAGAGCTTGACCACTCACGCATGTAAATAGGTGCCATGTGATGTGCCACTATGCAGGGTGCCCCAGCTACCTTCAGCCAGAGCTCAAAAATGTGCTGACACGCGCAATTACAACGCGACCAAATGCATGCTGCTGCCCATTGGCTGAAGTTAGTCAGACTATTTTTTGTCAGACTAAAATATTGTTAACTAGACATGTTTCATAAACTAAGTTTTTATGGAACGAAGATGGATAAAAAATTTCGAAGATAAAGTTGTACATCGCTTTGCAAAACTTCTAATTAGACAGTCTCGTACTTTATATCTGTTAATTATCATTGTTTTCCTGCCAACTGAAAGTGCCTGCGAAATACAAAAAAGCAATACCACGTGACAAAGCCACTCAACCGCCAGTGCACACGATGATTCTAGTGCATGCTCTCCAAGGTTCCGCGTACGAAGACTATAGCATTTGTCTGAGTGTGCTGTCTCGACCGGACCGCAACGATGGAGGTGACTTTACGATGAACACGTTTTGCTATCGGCCACAAAAACGATAACCGCTGTGACTGCTTACCGCTGTCATGAACCGTTTCGAGGGAAGCGTATCGTTCGTACGCGGAACGTTATAAGGAGCACAAAAATCACAGCGTGCATGGGCGCGCCAGTCGGTTTGTCACGTGCTATTTTTTTTTGCATTTTGCTGTAATTTGTAGTTAGCCAAAAAACAATAATAATGAACAGATTGAAGTTTGATACTGTCTAATCGGACGTTTTGCAAAGCGATTGACAGCTTCCTTATTGGAGTTTCTTATCCATCTTTGTTCCTTCAATAGTTAGGTAATTGAACATATCTATTTAAACAATATTTTAGAAGAGAAAAAAATAGTCTGAGTAGCTATAGGCAACGGTCAGCCACATGAATTTGGTCGCGTCATAACTGCGTTTGTTGGAATGTTTTTAAAATCTGGCGAAAATAGCTGGGGCACGCTGTATACCAAGTTTATTGGTCATAAATATTATGTTGTGTAGAGCTGTGAATTTCGTTTAGCCTTCACAATTACTGCTTCGCGGTGTCGAATCCAGCCTGAAGTTGGCAATGACGAAGTCTACGCCCTTTCGCTTGTGGTTGTTGGCTGTTTCCTGTCATACGAAATGCATTGTAGAGCATATCGAGGCGTGATGTCATCACCATTGTCATCATCCTCATTGTCATCGTCATGGTGCATTGTGGGTACCTTGCATGTGCTGTGCCGTGTTGGCAGAAAGAGAATGTGGGGTCTGGAACTTGCGTTGTCTTCATTGTCATGACTCATCAAAATCATCGTCATCTTCAGGGGCAGTTCTTCTTCACAATGCCAACAGACAAGTAATTCAACCTCAAGGAGCTTCGCCCCCGAATACTACATGGGTTTTGTTGCTTATTCGCGCTGCGAACGCGCGAATGTCATTTTTTTTCAACCTCCCCCTATTACGGCATTTCAGTTTAATAATAATAATAATAATAATAATAATAATAATAATAATAATAATAATAATAATAATAATAATAATATAATAATAATAATAATAATAATATAATAATAATAATAATAATAATAATAATAATAATAATAATAATAATAATAATGATAATAATAATAATAATAATAATAATAATAATAATAATAATAATAATAATAATAATAATAATAATAATATTATAATGTTCTTCTTCCTATTATTATGCATAGTTAAAGGAAAAATGTTCGTGGAAATTTTTATGTTCTAATTGCCTTTGAAGTATACTTGAAATAACACAACTTCTTAGCAGGATGAACCATGGAGGCTTGAAGAGTTCAGAAACCATTCATCCGAAAATGTCACTGAATGTACCGAAAAGACGAAGTGATAACCTCTATCTCTAGGCAACAATTTCTGGTCACTTGCAGTTAAAGCATTAAAGATTTCTACGGAAAGAAATGCGCAACCAAAATCGGGAGACATTCTGCGGGCGCAACTATCGCGTTATGAGTAATGATGTGAACAGGCACCAAATCACATTCATGGCACCTGTAAATGCTGATTTCCTAGCGTTAGCGGAACAAAGCAGCTTGTTTGAGTGTGTTCGCAACAATTTCGTTCGAGCGCTGGTGTAGTAGTCATCACAAACACACAGAATTGTGGGCAGCTCTGGCCACATGATCAGCCTGACTACTAGGCTGCGCAATCTGCGGACACACTACGTAAAAAGCCAAAACTGCCTCAAAGTGTCACCCGCGGAGCTAGACCGGGCTGCTCGCACGCACTACACTGGAGTAGGCGTGCATGTGCAAGCTACATATGTATATTATTGTCAAGATATTCGCCACATGAGGTCAATCACATTCAAAAGCACTCGTAAATACTAACTTAATCAATTTACAACATTTAATTTTGTCTTGCAGAGTATGTGTTAATTATGGGTCACAATATTTTTTTGTTTTTGTCTTTCAGACAAGAGTTAAGTGGGACACCTTGTAAAGTGTTCTCAAGGTAAGCATATTTTAGCACACCTACATGTTTCGCGCACGACAACAAATTAGGTTTAAAGCGAGGCAAAAATGGAGGTCGCTTAAATGGTAGTAGCAATCGTAAGCACATTACACGTTTGTCAAGACCCCTATTTTCTTCAGGTAAAAATTTATTCCGATTTTTGTCGACTTCGATTCTTTAGAAATAATGAGATTAATATACTGCGCAACAGTTTTTGAGAGCGGCAAATTCACCCCGCACTTTTATTGTCTTAATTGCCGGTTTGATTGACTTGGTGATGTTTAACAACGCCACGAGCCCAACGTTCGCGTGGTAATAGTGCTCGGGCTTTGGAAGCGAAATTCGCCGTTTCAACGCTGACCGTGCGGTGGCATCTTAATGGGAGTGAATTGCCAGGCCCTTGTGTTGTGCAATGTGAGTACACATCAATGACACGACATGGCTAAAATATCCGAAGGTTTCACCTTTGCGTGCCTCGAAACAGTACCCCTGTTATGGCACGCCAAACCTCTGATATTATAGGACAGAATGCACAACTCGGGTTACGTGGCAAGATATAAATGTCAAATCATGTCTTCACCAGAGCTTGTTGCCTCGCCCTGCCACGAAATTGTGATTATGGCGATAGCTAGGAGGATGACCCCAACTTTTATACTCGAAAGTGTCTGGACGTAATGCCAATTGCTATGGCCAACAGTACTACGAATAATACATAATTTTTTGGTACCCCTTAATTCACTGAAATTGTGTAAAGCAAGAAAGCTTTTAAGGTAGTAAAATTAGACAAAAGTGTAATAATCTTGCAACAACATCTTCTCTCCTCTTTATTTTCAGAATGAAGAAAAAAACTTCTTCACAACAATTAACACCCGGAAGATACTAAACAGCGTGAACCAAACTGTGTGGGGCTACAGTGGGGCAAGAACAAAAAAGAATGAAAGCCATTTCCTTAAATTACACATTATGGATTGTGCAGCAATAAACATTGCCGAAGCAGTCACTATATAGAGGGCTGCAGAAATACAAGTTGCAGAGAACATTCAACACTTTCGAAAGATGCAATGCCAGCGCGTTTAACAGTTATGCCTGCGTATACCCCAAGCGTTCTAAGAAATTCATAATTAAGAAAACAATCGGCAGATCCCATACATTGTGGGAATCGGTCTCATGTGAAAAAGTCCGCGAGTATTGTGTCTATGCCACATTTTTAGTTTTTCGACCAACAGTTACGAGCTGGACTGATGTGTTTTGGTAAATGCGGTAGCCATGTCGACGGCACTGGAGTTTACAGGGTAACCTATGGTCTGACGTAATGTCAGCACTCACGCAGGCGCACAGACGTTACTAATATGAGAACGCAGTGCAAGTTCTAGTGTTACGATGCGAATACCACTCGTTAACGTATTCTTCCGGGTTGAAGCAACTGTGAATTAGCTGAATGGGTAGAATTTATAGCAAAAGATAGCTGGCTGATTCATAGGAATTCTAACGCAATATCAACTTGACTGCTATACAAGCTGAACCCACAATGGAAAGAAGGAAGGAAGGAAGTATGTTTATTTACAGAAAGGCAGAGAGGTCGGCCTGAGCGATAGTTTGCTCTAGCCTGCTACTCTACACTGGGGGAAGGTAAAGGGGAAAAGAAAGATTAATGGATGACGATGGTGAGATAGAGAGGTGAGTATGTAGTGTTCTTTCTAGCGGAGACACATTTTGGAGCCGCGCACATAGACCAGTTGTTTCTAAAAAGGTAATGACTGCTCTTGTGACCGCAGTTGCACTGTTGGTGTCTGGCCAAGGGCCCAACATGGTCTCATCAGTTAATGACCTACTGCGATATTGTTCAGTAGAAGAAATCAGTGTTTGTCGTTCACGTGCGTATGCTGGGCAGACACAAAATATGTGCTCAAGTGTTTCTGGCACATCACAGTGTTCACAATTAGGACCGGTGTCACTGCGACCGATGATATGTGCGTAACGTCTAGTGTACGCTACACCAAGACGAATGCGGTGGATCATACTTGTGAGTTGCCGTTTCAATTTAGGAGGCATGCGGAACCTCATTTCCGGGTCCCATTTGTGAAGTCGCTGGTGTCGCCGTTCCGGTTTGGTCCAGTGCTGAAGTGTGTAGCTGCGCATCACGCAGCAAAGCAGGGCGTTCGTGTCAGCTCGTGAAAACGCAATGCGTACTTCAGGGGCACTGCTTAAGGCATTTTTAGCTTGAGCGTCTGCCTCTTCGTTTCCCACCACGCCGCAATGAGTGGGAATCCACTGGAAAGTTATAAGATGGCCATTTGTTGAAGCAACCTGAATACGTTCTGTGATTTCTATTGCCAAGCAGTAATATGGACCTTGCTTCATGATGCAATTATTGGTTTGCAAAGCGGGTTTGGCATCACAGAAAATTGTCCAGGCTCGAGGTCGCTCTCCGGAAATAAACCTTATTGCCTCTCGGATAGCGACAAGCTCAGCGGCAGTTGATGTGGTTTTATGGTCCACTTTGAATCGACGAGCGATATCCATGTCTGGGATGACAAAGGCTGCGGCGGAGGTGTTTAGCGTGGTGGATCCGTCGGTGTACACGTGCAGAGAATCACTGTACGTTGTATAAATGTGATATAGGGTTAGTTGTCTGAGGCCAACAGAAGAAATGAGCGACTTCTTCGTAATTCCAGGTATCGTAAAAGAGATAGGTGGTTTAGGCAGAATCCATGGTGGCACTGCAGGGGCATTTGGCGGAGAAAACCTTGGTGGTATAATATTTTCATGCCGCAATATTACTTTTGAGAAACTGCAATCTGGGTGAGTGGCGGGTAGTACTGACAGTGGGTGCTGTCTGTGTCTGCTCAGTAATCGTAGGTGAACTCTAAGTGGCTCGCAGAGCATGTATACACTGATGGGACAAGCCCGAGCCTCTGCGACTGTCCCATTTGTTGAAGTGCAGCGTGGTAGACCCAAGCATCTTCGTAAGCATTGAGCTTGAACACTCTCGAGTGTCTTCACACAACTAGGTCCCATATTGGAAAGCACCGGCATGCTGTATCGAATGTATCCCACAAATAGAGCATTGTATAATTGAAGTAGCGATGATTCTGATGGGCCCCATCTTGCTCCTGCTACGTGGCGAAGAATGAGAGCAAAGCTCTTCAATTTAGATTTAAGTACGGCGACATGCCTCGTCCACGATAGATCTCTGTGTACGACAACCCCAAGGAACTTGTGGTGCGTTACAGCAGGTATCGCTGTCCCATTGATAAATATCGGGTATTGCGACATATGCTTGCGCGTGAACGCAAGCACTGCGCATTTGTCGATTGAAAGAGTGAGCCCCTGACGTCGTAGATATTTGTATGTGATCGTCACTGCATGCTGTAGTCGAGCTCGCAATTGCGGACGAGTAGTTCCGGATGCCCATATGCATATGTCATCAGCGTATGCAGTGATCTTCACCGTGCTGGGAAGTTCTGCTGCTAGGCCGATCATTGTGACATTGAATAGGATCGGGCTGAGAACTCCTCCTTGGGGAACACCACGATGAACCTTATATCGATCGGTGTCTCCGTTACTTGTCGTCATGTAAATGGTGCGGTCCCTAAGGTAGCTAAAAATCCAAGCGTACAGTCGTCCACCGATGTCGAAATCTTTCAGTGCGTCAAGGATTGCATAATGCAGCACATTATCGTAGGCACCCTTAATGTCTAAGAAGACCGCCGCCACTAGTCTGCGTCGGCTTCTTTCCTCTTCAACGCTGGTGATCAAGTCGACCACACCATCAATGGCAGATCGGCCTCTTCTGAAGCCGTTCATAAATGCAGAAAAGGAGTTGTTGCTCTCTCGAAGCCACTCTAATTGTGCCAGTACCATTCTTTCCATCACTTTTCCGACGCAGATGGCTAACGCGATTGGTCTGTAGGAAGAAAGTGCATAAGGACACTTTCCCGGCTTGAGCAGTGCAATAATGCGACTGCATTTCCAGTTAGCTGGGACTTCTCCTGACTCCCATGAGGTGTTATAATGAGATAACAGGATATGTCGTGCTTCTGTATCAAGATGGTTGAGTGCAGCATACGTGATTCCGTCAGGTCCTGGTGCCGATGATCGGCGGGAGGCAGAAATCGCAGCGTCAAGCTCATGTATTGTAAAACGTACATCAAGGCGCTCGTCAGACGATGGAGGCACAATGGTAGTAAGAAGCTCATTAGTGGCAAGATCATCAGTGGTGTCCACGATGAGACTACAGTAGTCACTGGCTATCTCAACTTCTGTCCGTCCCTGATGTAGAGCAACAGCTTGAAATGGTTGATGTTGTTGGGGAGTTGTCTGCAAACTTCGTACCACCCGCCAGATCTTAGATAGAGGTTGCCTGGGGTCCAGAGATCCACAGAAAGTTCTCCAACGTTGCCTGTCAATCTTGTCAAGATGCCGAAGAACATGTCGTTGAGCTCTACGACAGGCGGAAAGGTCTGAAGATGACCTCGTTCGTCTGTATCGTCGTTCGGCACGGCGACGGATTGCACGAAGGGCCTCGTATTGGGAGTCAACTGCTGATCTCTGCATCGGTAGGTTAACCTGTTTGGTTGTGTCACGCAGTCAAGAAGCAATGATGTCTTCTACCTCGGATGGATCAGTCGTGTGTTCACAGCCAGACTTGACAGATGCCTTGAACAGTGTCCAGTCGGTTTGACGGATGTAGCGTGTGTGCGTGCGGCGAAACCACCTGAACTGAACATAGGTTGGAAGGTGGTCACTGCCGCGAGTGTCCAAATCTGTGCACCAACATGCAGAAGACAGAAGGTTTCTGGAAAAGAAACAGAGGTCGAGGCAGCTGCTGTAGGACGTGCCACGAACAAATGTAGGTGATCCGTCGTTGAGCACGCTTAGTCCATAGTTGTATATAAAATTGGCTAAATCCCTTCCGCGATAATTCGTTGTAGTGCTACCCCAGAGAGGATGATGTGCATTGAAATCGCCGATCACAATGTGTGGCCTTTGTGCTGATT